TTTAATAATGGGAGACCGCAGATTAAAAATTAGAGAGATAGCAGAGATTATAGGCATCTCTTATGAACGAACTCAAAACATCATTGTCAACGAGTTGGGTTTCCACAAGGTGTCTGCGAGGTGGGTTCTGCGACTGCTTTCAGTAGAACAAAAAAAGGACGCGATTGACTATTTCACGCGACTGTTTGGAGTTACTTGAAGCCGATGCAGATGATTTTTTGAATCGTTTTGTTACTATGGACGAAACATGGGTTCATTACTGTACACCGGAAACAAAACAACAATCAAAACAGTGGAGAAGATCTGGTTCACCACCCCCTAAAAAGGCTAAGTCGATTTTGTCGGCAAATAAGGTGATGGCTTCAGTATTCTGGGACTCGAAAGGTTTGATTATGATTGATTATCTTGAAAGGGGTCAGACTATAAACTCTGATTACTACTGCACCTTACTACGTCGTTTACGAGAGGAAATAAAAAGAAAAACGTCGAGGAATGCTCAGAAGAAAAGTCCTGTTTCATCAAGATAACGCCCGTGTTCACACGTCAGTACAGTCAATGGCTGAAATTCACAACTGTGGCTTTGAACTGTTACCGCATCCGCCGTATTCACCTGATCTGGCACCATCAGACTTCTTTCTGTTCCCTAACCTAAAAAAGCACTTGGGAGGTCAGATTTTCGACAAACGACGAGGTCAAAGCAGCTGTAGACGCATATTTTGACTCTAAGGAAGAATCATTTTTTTTTCAACGGTCTAAATGCTTGGAAGGGGAGGTGGCAAAAGTGTATTGAACTTGATGGTGATTATGTAGAAAAATAAAAATATAACTGATTTAGTATGTGTTTATTTTCTTGGTTAGGCCGAGTACTTTTCAATCCACCCTCGTAATAACGTATTACGTGTCACTAAAAACAAAAGTAAGTATACGCTTGTTTTTTGGACTTGAGTCGCGCCTTCGATAGGGCAACAACTTCAACTATAGCATCCTATGATAAGTTAAAATTGGTGGGTGCTTCTCCAGACATAATTAGAATCCTTATTAATTGGTATAATACGCAGGTTTTTTTTAATTCTTTTTTTTTACTTTAGGGACTTATGTTATTTTTAACATATCAGTCCCATTGTGCCTTATAACTAAATAACACATTACAATTTCTTAAATTATTTACACAAAATATTAACTAAATTATATACCATATGAGCAGCATTAGACAATAGTTCTGACAGAATGCTTTGATATTCCCCTAGGTTACATATTTTAATATCAGTTTTGGCAACTAATAGTTTCCTTTCATGATGATTTTTGGAACATTCCGCGAGCAAGTGTTGTACATCTTCTATTGTTTTGCATGTATCGCAATTTGGAGATTGTTTCTTTTTCATCATGAAAGCAAACTTGTTACACGGAATGTGTCCGGAACGAAGTCGCATTGCTAATACAATATATTTTCTATTCAACAGACATTGATTAAACCAAGGCACTTTCGGAGGCTGACTCTGGATGGTTTTGTACCAAATCCCTTTTTCTTGCGATCTTTTATCAAAATATTCTTTCCAAAGTGTATAACATTTCTCTTTATATAATACGCAGGTTTATGTAGTGAACCGGAACGGTCGCTTTCGGACGAGTTTGTACTGACTAATGGGGTTAGGCAGGGTGGGCTGACTTCTCTGCTGTTTAACCTTTACGTTAACGCTCTAATTGAGGAGCTCAATGAAGCGGGTATCGGCTGTCATATAGGTGAGAAATGTGTAAACAACGTTAGTTACGCAGACGATATTGTTATATCGAGCCCCTCAATCGGAGCCTTAAGTAATTTCTATTTGTGAGAAATACGCAGCAAGCTACGACTTAGTTTATAATACAGACAAATCTGTGGCAATGGTCTTTGGAGCGCACAGTAAAGATGTTTGTTTACCATTATACCTGAACGGCAAAAATTTGTGACGGAGCTTTCCATATTTAGGACATATCGTATCGAATGACTTGAGGGATGATCAGGACATGGACAGGGAAAGGAGGTCCCTTGCTGTACGTGCTAATATGATTAGCAGGAACTTTAATAAATGCGAGCGAGATGCTAAAATATTACTATTTAAAACCCATTGCCAATCGCTTTACAGACCGCATCTCTGGACTAAATTTAAAAAGGAAAACTATCGAATTTTTAAAATTCAGTATAACGATTCGTTCTGAATATTATATCGTTTTCCGAGGTACTGTAGTGCATCTACAATATTGAAAATTATTTTCTCTTTAAAATTACTACAATGTTCGCTGAGGCACGCGTGACGGTGATCGATGCTTTGACATCGTGTGGCCAGATTTAGAAGTAATCTTCTCAAGTCTGGAAACGCGATTATACCAACTTTAACGCAAAATTGTAGTGAAATATTTAAATATTGGTCTAGCATGTTAAGATGTAAGTTTTATTGTATGTATTTATTTGATGGAATTTATTATATTTATGTTTATTTTTTATGTATTTCAGTATTATATAATTTATTAAGCTATTGCATAGCTTTCATCACGGACTTTGAGCGCGGCGACCGAATCAAGAAATTCCGTAACGAAAATAAACCTAAGACCCCAAAACCTAACATCGTCTAACGTCGTTTCAGTTCGGCACACTTAGGCACGGTGTTTGTGTGCGTGCGAGCAGTGGCGTAGCTACCTTGGGGCTAGGTGGGGCAGTGCCCCGGGGCCCCTTAGCTGAATAAATAATTTTTGACTTTTAACTTTTTGGCCCCTGAACCAACAAACCTCGAACGGCTCAAACTGAAATCATAAAAATTTCTTCCACCTCCAGAACATAAACATCATTGTTAGAATAAAATCGGCTACTTCGTTTTAGTGTCTAAGTATATAATATATTACGAGTACTGACTGTTATCTACTCCGTCACTGTTTATTTTTAGCGCCTTCCACCAACATTGAAAATTATACCATGGAATCCTTTTACCGGGATGAAAGTATCCTATGTCCTACCGTGGTCGAGCTCTATCCGTGTGCAAAATTTCATAATCCAAACGAAAGTTTTGACGTGAAAGCGTAGCAAAGATTCAAACTTTCGCATTTATATTAGGTCGGGGAAAAAGTTTCTTCGCATTTTATATGTAAATTCAAGACTTTTTTTTTTCAAAGTTTAATTAAATTTAATTTTAATATATACATATGTTCCATTTTGTTCGATAACTTTTTTATAGCATTGGATGACAAACGAGCACACAGTCCACCCGATGGTAAATGGATGCTGTGGCTCATAGATATCCACATTTATCCTCAATTAAGGATCAAAATGCAAATGCGTTGTCACCCCTGAGGACTAAGATGGAATGCCTCGATTTCAGTAATAAAGGTCTCTGGTTCTCTACACTCACCATACGAAACACATCAGCATTAGGTACGCTGCTATTTTACGCTGGTAATCTGTGAGAGCTTGGTCCTGCCCCGGTCGAGCCGACCCATTCGTGCTACAACTATAACATAGCACGTAATGTTAAAATGTAAACTTGTTGCCATCTTGGGACATAATACCGTTGCTGTAGAATTTTTGGGATTTTGGTAAAAAAAATGCAACAAATAGTTTTAACAGTCCTCATTTTATATATATATATATATATATATATATATATATATATATATATATATATATATATACATACATAGATAGATTAGGAAGTACGAATTGTTGATCGAAGGTACGAATACATATTATCTGATGCGCACATACTACTTATTTGTAGGTAGCTTTGCGTAAAAAGCTTATGATGAAGTAGTTTTGCAACCTATGTATTTAGTTTAGTTCAAATAGGGCCCTAATTTAATTTTTGCCCCGGGGCCCTTGATTACGTAGCTACGCCACTGCGTGCGAGTAGACGTATGCGTGTAGAATAGTTGCATGTATTGTAAGATAATAAAAATATTTTAAACAATAATATACCTAGTTTATTTCAAGAAGCATATTCTTTGGATTTATATGAGTCGTCGTCATGCTAGGGTCGATTTCAAACCATCCGTAAAAAGTGGGTTTTTGAAATAACTCCTTTAATATTGTTGGAATATACGTTATTTCTTTATAACGCGATACTTACATAACATGTTAATATTGTACAGTTTGGAATATTAAACTAACATGTGTAACATTCCAGATAATCAAAAGAAACTATCTATTTTTTCATTTGTGTCACCGGTCATTTCCCCCGATTTTTCAACAAAACTTTAACTATGAAAAATACTACTGTGTGAAAACGTATATTTTTTTACTCTGGTTACACATTAATAACCATATACTTAAGTTATGCTAATATTTTTAAATTAATACAAAATATAATACGATTTCTCTCTGTTTTATTTTGTGACCATTTTTTTCAATCATTAGTGTCGACTTAATAAACGTTCCGTTATTAAGAACACCTGTGCATTACTGCTATCCCCACTTTTACGCACGTAAAGAAGTACCCTAGTGGCACGAGAACGGTCGGTGATAGCAGACGCGTGCATCGTTAATTCTGGTAAGAAATCGCTTTTTTATTGAATTTCTGTGCTTAGTACGAAAACTGAATCATTCGTGTTTATGGTAGTGTGATAATAAGTATTTGAACAATGGATTCTTTATCATGCACGTATATTAGCAACGAATAACGCGGATATTTTGTGGGCTCTTAATGGCGTCTAGAATATTCTACGACGCAATAAATTAGATTGTTGGTTGAAAATTTCATTCGTGTCACTTCATTAGTGTCATTTTTTTGAGTAACACTAATGAAATGCAATGCTACACGAATGAAACGGTATATCACTTGACTACGAAAAGAAGGGTTATGATTATTTTTTTGTTTTTAGCTTATGTGTCATCAAATTTGCTTTTAAACCTTACTTTTACTTGCAAACTTTAAGAGGTTTCTCTCATTTTTTTCATGTAAGTGCCATTAATTTATTTGTTAAAATTATGAGATGGATTTTCCTTATAGTATATGATAAATTGTTTAAGGTTTAAAATGGTGAAAGAAAAATGTAAGAAAAATGAAGATGAGTTGGAAAGGAGAAGGATTGCAAGAAGGGAAAAATATAAAAGAATAAAAAGCGATCCCGAAAAATATGCCGTTGAAAGGGCTAAAAAAAAGGAGGCTTACTTAAAAAGGAAAAGAGAGAAGAAAGTAAAAAATATCAACCAAATGTCTCCAAGGGCACAAAGAGCACAAAGAAAGCGTTGGAGAGAAAATTCGAAGCGATACCTGGAGAAGAAAGCACAAGAACGGAAGATACAAGAAGTAACCATTTCCCAAGTGCTCGAAGCTCACATAAAAATAAATGATAAAGAGTTCTCCGATCCTTTGTATGAGGAAAATGTAAAAAAAGAGATAAATAAAGAAAGTAAGAAAAGAACATTCCAAAGTAAAATTAAAGCCTTACAGTTAAAACATGCAATAGAAAAAAGAGAAATGACCTTATTAATTAAGAAATACCAAAAGCGCTGCAGAATTTTGACAAAGAAATTAAATAAAATAAAAGAAAATCAGGCATATACTGTTTGGGAAGAAAACATTGCATTACCTACTCAAGTTCCTATTCATACACCTAGTAGCCCTGATGCTGCCAAAGAAGCGACAACCGAACAAGGTATTTTAAAGCCTTCTGGCAATTTGAAACGTAGACCTAGTTTAGAGTTTCGTAAAAAGTGTTTTAAAGACAGATTTCAGCAGAAGATTAAGCAAGGCAATGATAGCATCCAAGAATTAATCAAAAGTTTTTATGAAGATGACATTAACAGCCGCATTGGTGCAGGAAAGAAACAATATGTAAAAAAATTTGGAATAATAAAACAAAAACGGTATCTGCTGGATTCTGTTAAAAATTTGCATAAAAAATTTCTTGAAGAGAATCCTAACATACTGATTAGTTATGTAACATTTACAAGACTACGTCCATTTTGGGTCTATTTGCCACGAGATGACAGGGAAACATGTGCATGTATGGCACATACAAATATAGATCTAATGATTTTAGCTTTAAAGAAAAATAAAATAGTTGACATAAGGAATTACCGGGATATGCTGCACGTTCTTTGTTGCGACAAATACAATAAAAAGTGCGTTGGCAGAGATTGTAAAACTTGTAAAAACAGAGTTATATCGTACAATGAATTTAATAATACGGACGAAATCGAGTACCATGAATGGTGCAGAGATAAAAAAGAAATTAAGCTCCAAAGAAATAAATATAGTGAAAAAATTTACAAGGAAAATAATGCCTAAAGACCTGATACTTAAACTTGAGCATTCCCTTCCGAAATTCTTTATTCATACTGTGAACATCCTCAATCAACATCAAGCTGTTACTCTATTGAAAGAATCCCTTAATCATGACGAAACATTACTCCACATGGACTTTTCTGAAAATTATAGTTACAAATTTGCTGAAGAGGTGCAAAGTCTACACTTTGGGGGTAGCCGGGGACAAGTATCTCTTCATACCGTTGTAGCTTATCTCAAAGAAGGAAGAGAGACTGTTAACCACTGTCTGTGCACGGTCAGCGAATGTACACGGCATGATTCCCCTGCAGTCTGGGCACACTTACAGAAGGCGTTACAATTTGTGTTCGAAAAATGTCCTTATATTACCACCGCCCACATTTTAACAGATAGTCCAACAAGCCAATACCGAAATAAACAAATATTTTACATATTGACTCAGCTCCGCGATACCTTCCCATCGTTAAAGCTAGTTACTTGGAATTACCAAGAAAGTGGTCATGGCAAAGGCGCTCCTGACGGCATTGGCGCTGTGGTTAAGCGGACAGCTGATCATCAAGTTAAATGTGGGCGTGACGTCGGGGATTTTTCAACATTCCTTGCAGTTGTTCGCGAAAATATTAAAAATGTTGAGATAAAAGTAGTAGAGGAGCATGAAATTATAGAAAAAGAACTTCTTCTTCCTAAGGATATTTCACCATTCAAGGGTACTATGTTAGTTCACCAAGTGATCTGGAATTCTGGATCAGAATTTCTTGAGTTCCGAAAACTAAGCTGTTTTTTGTGTTTGGATAAAATCTGCGAACATGAGGATAAACATATGCAATTACATAAAATTTATAAGAGTGTCGTCGAATCGGCTGTCCAAAATATAAAAGTTATTCCACCAAGCAAACGAATTACGGTATTGAGCGATGTATCCATCCAGTATTATAATCGGAACAATAATCCGTCTACTTCCGGAACACGCAAAATTATAAAATCTGTTAAAAGACTTGCAGATGTAAAATTTGATTGGACAAATCAAACGTTCATAAACACACAACAGAAGGTGTCTAATGGGCATGAAGAGGCTTTCCTCCGCTTTATTAATGAACGGTCTTTTGAGAATACGGAATAAGAAAAATGGAGAAATAGAAAGTAATGGTAACTTTAAAACATGATCAAGACTGATTACATAATTAAGTTAATACGAAAATAAATCAAAGAATTGAAATGATAAAAATAAGAAATCAACAAGATTGAATAAGAAACTAGCTATAAGATTTAACTAAGTATTAATATAATATTACCTATCCAAAATGACTGAATAAATAAATAAGTGAGGTAGAAATACTTTTATGAGAAATATATGCCTACATAATTAATTATACGTTGTTATAACCAAAAAGTTTGTTACTTATATTTTTGTAGATCACAGAAATAATTATGTTACGTAATCGTGTATTCTTAAAATTTGTTTTGTATTGTTTTTAAATGTCTTTTGATTAAAAGTTTAATAAAAGTGTTTTTGTTTTTGTTCTCACCTAAAAATGCTAACATACATATTTTCTTGTGCATTATTAAAAAAGATTAATCACAGAAAACGTAATAGTACTACGTACCCAATATTATAATAGTAAAGTATCTGATTTAGTTAGCCAATATCATTAGTGTCATGCAGACTTCATTCGTGTTATGCGAGTTTCATTCGTGTTCCCAGGTATATCATTCGTGTTACCCTGATCTTGATTTTTTGTCACTTTTGAGTAGATACGCACCGTGATTTTACATTCTGATGTATTAACTTCATAAAAGTAAACGTTATGGACCGTCAGATAACAATAAAACGGGTATTTGCACAAAGCGAAAAAAAAGTGTCAAATTAATTCGACTTGTGAAATCGACCTGCTAGCAACTTTCGTGAATTTGGAGTATTTAATAAACACAGACTTTATAAGTACTTAAATATATTTTTTATATTATTTTTGATGACACGTTTGGCGCAGATGCTGAACCACCCGAATGCAGCGTCGCGGATCACGGGTTCGATTCCCGTATGAACATTTGTGCTAACAAGAAAAAAAATACTGCATAAATAAAATAAATAAATAATGAAAATTGCATAAGTTGATAAAAATGCTATGCAATAGCTTTACCGCGGTAGTCCCCGAGTGCCACACGTATTTTTTTCAATATTTTTATTATTGTTGCTTATAAGTACCTACTTATGTTTTTACGGGCCTTTGTTGTCTGTCAATAAATGATTATCATTATTATTTCATGTTAGTGATCAGAGGTGACTACGCACCCGTAGCTTTCTTTGCTTGAGGTTGGTTGGTAGATGCCCCTGGACTGCGGTAACCATTTACCATCAGGTGGACTCTAAGTTTACATTCCGTTTTATATTTTTATACAGTTTTTGTATAATAATAATTTTGAACTTTGAATAGACTTACATGTTTCCTGGGACTTTGTTGTAAAAGCGTATCCTATATTGCCCCATAAAGGAATTACTGACTTTTCGGGGTGGAATAACTGATATTACTCGCTTTTGCTTTTAAATAGGGCTATACATTCTGTAAGTACTATTTAAATGAGTTGCACTGAGTTGATTTCTCATTACCTAATCTCAAATCCATCATTTTCACATTCTTTTATTTTATGCAAAGGACAAGACAAAAGGCAAACAACAATTTTATTATATTCATAACATTAATTCAAATTCTGTTATTAAAAAGGCCTTACCAATATCATCTGCTTTTTACCGTAACGGGACACCAACCACTTGAAAACCATTGTACAAAAAAATACAATTATGACCACAGAAATAGAATACATATGAATAAGTATGCACAAAGGTTATTACGTTAATGAATTTGAAAAGTAACTTCGGAGCCAACCACTGTTTGAGCTGCCCGAGTTTTAATGATTGAAGGTGAAATATTTTAGCAGAATACGCCGAGTTACGCACCCGAGCTGCGGACGAAACTAAGTTACTACCTGTTAATGTTAATTAACACAAATTAACGTTAATCGAAAGTATGGCAGTGTAGCGCCATTCATTATAAACTGTGTAGGAAATATTCTCAAAACGTAATCTATATAGGTGTTAAAGTGAAACTACTCATCATTTAGATATTAATATATTTTCGAATCTAAAATGTACAAAAAAATACAACTTAAACATAATGTACTTATAACGCCTGCTTTTGTCGATGAAAAAATAGTTACAATTCAAATATCTCCGGACAGCAGTGGTGTCGGCTTCCGTAATTGACAACAACTGTATTATGTGACCCGGAACCAGCTATTAGGAACGAAAACATAAGCCACACTATACATCTCTGATGTTATATTGATTTTATTTCATTATATTTGTTGATTTAATTTTGTTTCATTCGACTTTTTACCAAAAATAATAAATTCGTCTTCGCTAATATCAGGGCGGTTGTGTAAAGGCTTTCGATACGACATAGGTGTACCCATACAACTATACAAGTTCTGTTTCGTATGTTTACTTTTATTGATAAACATAACGACCTATATCAAATTAATATTTAGTCAACCATCACTTTATAACAACTTTGGTTGTGTATGCTAGTCGTAAAATATACGTATCTTAGCTATTTACAAATATATAAACATACATACATACAATGCGTAGAAATGCAGAGCAACACAAGAGGCCTTAATTAATGTTTCAAGAACTAAATAACACAGACTTAACGACCATCCGCTAAAAGGATTCAGCGAAAGCAAAGACTAGTAATCAAATGTTCAATAAGTGATCAAGTAATGTAGTCTACGCACTTAGTAATAATATACTTAGTTGTTAAAGCTGACAAATATATCCCACCCGTAACGCAGTGTCTAACACGAAGTGATAATTATGCTTCTAAAATTAAACAATAACATAAACAATGAGTTAGCGTAAATCCTTTTGGCGGTTGACCAATATCTAAAAAATCACTCGCAACGTTCTAGAAAACATAATTAGGTTCACAGTTTACAGTGTAACGTTATTTTTTTTCACTACATAAGTGTTACACCTAAAATATACAGAATTCTACATAAAACAGTCCTGGTTCACAGACGACAGGCCAAGACAAGAGGCACGATTTTATACAAAAAATAAAATCCATAACGTACGGGACCACGATTACCTCGTTGTGTTAGCGACTGTCATCTATCGTTAACTATAAATATATTTATCACACGTAATCTTCTATATAGGAATTGCAAAGAACCTTCCGATCCTAACAAATAATGTCTAAAACTATAATAATTCGATATCATACGAGTTGAAAACATTTTTTTAAAAGTTAAATAACACTAATTATGTTTTCCATTTGAAACAAAGATTCCCGTACCCATCAATGTTCCTCGACCCTATGCAAGTGATTACTAAAATTAGTCCTCTTACACACAGAGTAATTCTTAATAACGAAATGTCCTATTTAATTATTTCAATGAAATTCCAGATTGGTATCGAAAAGAATTCAAGACTATTTAATAACATAATCCAATTTATATCTCGTCCCATTGGATGGAAATTTTGGACCCTATATATATATATCTTTTCAGGTTTACTCTGTGCGAGAACCAAAACGCCTTAAAACTACAAAATTGTCTTACATAAAATTTCGAATAACAGGTAATCATATTATAACATTTCGATATATTGTAGAACAAGTATCTCTTGAATTGTATTATAGTTAATGTAAAATCTATTAAGCTTACTCATAATATACTCGACATATCCACTTAAATTTTGAAAGTTCATAAATCTTAAAACTGTACTTACAATATATAATTAGCAGCCAAATTAAAAAAAAATACAATGTTCATTTCAAGGCGGTTAAAATTAAAGAATTTCAATGTTTGATTGCCTGGCGAAAATGTCTAATTTTTGAAGATTTTACACTTGATACGATACTTTCAAAACAATCATTATTAATTTAACTACAAACTAGAATTTGATGTTTACAAATCAGATTATGATACAACACGCCAAGATGAAAATCTAGTTTTATAGATAATTATGTCACAAAATGTAAAATTATTTATATTAAGCAAATTTTAGGTTTATTTATCAAAATATGTATTTTTGAATAGCTTAGGAATACTCTTTCGTTGATGACTTTATTGACCAAATAGTTTTTATGTTCTTTGCCTAATTTTAGGCTCTACCGGTAAATTTAATGACAAATTTATATCTATGATTTTGCTTAGCCACTTAGTATTAAGTGGACCATAAAATTGATTACTTAGGTAACGATGTAAAAAAGCACTGATTTGTTGTTAAATAATTATAATTATTATGTTTTGGAAGACTTAAATCTATAAACGTAGAATTTGTTAAAGGCTTACAACATAACAACTTTTTTTTTAATCGGGTAGAGGCACGTTTTTAATAGCAAATTTCCAAAATTGCAGTATTACTGCAAAACGACAATATTATTTTTGATAATTTATAAAAATTCCCGATGTAAACCATCAACATACTCTTAAACATCGGACAAATCGATGTAGAATAATCCAATTACCCAACCAAAAAATAAGTATAAATCTAGTACAGAATTATACTTCAGTTCATCGATCGAACATTTAAAACTATTTCTTTAGTTAGTACAACTGCTAAAATCTATTTCAATTTCGTAATAAATTTATAGTATCCTGGTAAACGTGGATTTGAAAAAATACTTTCCTCTTTTAATATTCAGGCAACCCATCTATCTACATTACTGTTCAATTTATATACATTATGTGGGAAACCATGCTTAAACTCATGCAATGGACGTGTTTTTATACGAGTCTTTATAAGTAAACTAGATTATCGTAAATCTGTAAAAAATATAGCCTTTGTGTACATTTAATTCTCACCGAGACATCGAAAACTAAGTGACGGCATTTTATGCTGTTCCATCTAGCGTATTGATAAGAGGCTTTTATTTATCTGATATTTTATATGTTATGAAGAAGGCAGACTCGGCTCACTTCTATGAGTTTTACTGTCGTCATGTAGGTAGTTAAGGCCATCTCTTGTACTTTGTTTTAATCTTTATATACCGGACAACACGTTCAACAGCATGTCTCCCTATAACGAACTAAATGGAATGAAATTGTTACATTGCTACGAGTGTTGGTAATAGTAAAGCTTTATCTCACTATTATTAACGCTAAAGAACTCCAAGTATTAGTCCATATTTTTTATAAAACAACAAATTAAATTGGTCAGTAGCCTAGACATCAGAACTATTTCCAAGGGTATAAAAATATTTATATACTTCTAAGACATCATTATTTCATTTGGTTTTATGGATATTCCCTACTTATTATTTGTACGTTCATCTTTAGATAGGTAATATAATCACACATTCTCTTTCAGTGTAGAGCTACTTACTACATTCTATGGTTGGTGTTGCTAATAAAATAAGTGTGAAAGAATAGGAAAAATGCTGTATTTAGAATTCTCAAAATGTAGACATGTAATCCTTCATATTTCGTTTTAAGTACCTTTTATCCACTTAAGTAAATGCCACTTCATTATTGTGTTCTAATTAAAAGAAAATATTAAGATAAAATGTTTAAATTTCGATAAAATAAGTTTACAAATAAAGCACAAACAAAACAAATATTATGAGCGGCACGTGAGTTGCAAATTTTGATAGAATTATCGATTGCAGTCCAAGTGCAAAGTAATGTGTAGTAAATACAAAATATAGTAGACAGAAATTTTCAAAACGCTATCCTTCTTAACATTTCTTAATTGTGGTCCCAAACGCAACATTCTTACAATAAATATTTATAATCTAACGGTTCCAAATTATTTATAAAATTACAAATTTTTCATTTTTTTTTAATGTTCACCGGAAGCATTCGAATTTAATGTAGTTTATTTTATTCATTTATATGGTTAGTAATGATACAAAAGATATTGAAATTAATTTGTATCAAAAATTGGCTTAACACAGGCAGTAATGCTTAGTTTGTAAAACTCCCGCCATGTCGTGTTGGTGATATTAAACTATAATCCGAAATGTTACATTACAACATGTAAATGGCAATTAAAAAAACAAAAACATTTCCGTAATAAACAATCAGTAATACCGCAAAACTAAATTGCGATCTAATTGCCTGCACAGAAAGACAGCGTTTCGGTTTTTTAATACGAAGAGATGATCAATGAAAAAACAAAACATTCATCACACATTACATTATCATGCACTTAAATTCTATGTTAACCGATACAGATTTATGACGAATTAACTTCGTGTCTAATCATATTATGACAAAGATACAATAAGAATTCTAGGCATACAATGGTAATGCTATCTACATGCCATATTTAGTATTTACAGGACTGTAATTTAAGAAACGATATATTAAAATTTAATGATATAAATTACATCCTTATTCTTCCAAGCACTTGCAAAAACATTGAAAATGTCTCAAAGCTAAATCCAACAAAAACAATTTTATAGCTTTCTGTGTAAAGTTAAAAATCGCATTTCTTTTTTACAAACTTTTATTTAGTTTTTTGTACTTAAATTGTTTTACTTTTTGAATATTTATTTTTGTACTGTTGAAATTTTTTAACATTTTTATTTGAGCTCTAATTCATTGTTCTTTTTAACGTTATAAAAGTAGGCATAGAAACAGCACTCGGGCGCCTATTGCAATGCATTGCAAAATTATACAAATAAAAAATTTAATCTGCTGGTTTAAATCCCTTACTTTGACGTGTATTCCATAAGTTGCGTGGTATATAATTATTATAGTTATTTATATCTTGCATTATACATTTTATTTCAATGCAATAAGTATTACACATCATTTTTATGATCTTAAATAAAGTCCGTAACTATATCGATTTATTTCTTTATGTTTCTTCAGTGAGTTCTGTATTTTTGTTATGTTAAATTCTTGATTTTAATGAGAATATAAAATATACATATTTGCAAGTCTGCCGAAGTGTCCCTTATCTTTGCCATTTGTACCTATGTGCGTACATATTATTATGTTGGTAAGCTTTCGACTTGGCACAAAAATAAAAAGTAAACTACTCACATCATGAAGTAAGCTTATACACAATGGCAAAATAGCTGCCATTAACGTTTTAAATAAAACTAAATTATAATTAAAATTTAATTTAAAAGAGAAAATAAAAAAAATACAATTTAGAACACAAGATAAACTTATTAAAAATAAAATACGATTAGGTGACATTATTGTAAAGAGCATCATTTTCGGTGCGTTTTCAAAATATTCATAACCGGTAGTTAGAGAAAAGGCGAAATATTTGCAGTACATAGTTGAAATGAAACGTCAGAAGGACGGTTAACGAATAATATGAAGTGTATAAGAAAATAAGAGGCGCCACTGATAAAACTTCCAGGTAAGTCATGTTCAGGCCTTAATGTATTTTCAAGCTACGTAAAATGCATTTGATGCCTTTACGTGAACTTTGTGCTAACGTGTCGGACTACTAACCAATATATAAAATACAGTTAACAGGGGTAATGAAATGATATTATTAAATTATAAAATAATATTTGTAAAGTTATAATTAATGCTCAATAATTTTAAAAATTACAAGAAAATTAGTTCATGTAAGAAACACAATAATGATGATAACATAACAAAATATTTACAGTAAAGCAACATCTATAACTTAATAACACGGTATTTACACATAGTAATATTCTTCTCCAGTTTTAACTATCGAGCACTAGAGGAAATTAAAGTGACGAAGAAATATTCATTCAGAAAGGATTACGCCACAAACGACACTCGTAAATTCTCGGAAGGTGTAACATCGAGAGAACACTACGTAATTTATCTCATACTACAATACAGCTTACTTTGTCATAACAGGTAACATCTGACTTTCATACTTATAATACATAACGTTCACAACGCCAAAAAATATGTGTTTATTTCTATACAATATTGCACGCGGTATTATTATATTGTACACTGTGCCGGTATACTAGAGGCGTAATGTCAATCATATTGCGAATAACGTATTTTTACTCCCTTACAGGAAGATACCGTCGTACTTCTTATCATATCTTAATCTTAAACTCTATACACAGATACTAAAAGATCAATAAACAGGGTTCTCAAAGAACAAAAAAAATCGATCGAGCGACAACTTTACTAATCGAATGGGTCACTAGCACTACTAGTCTAAAAATAATTACATCAATATGGAGACATTATATAAATACGTGTACTATAATATTCTCACGTGCGTGAGGTTAACAGCCGCTGAGGTACCACGTGATGCGTAGCCGAGACCGACGAGTCCTAGGTGTGGTGCGGGGAGCGCTCGGGGCGAGGGGCCGGCGCGCGTCACTGCGACAGCAGCTTCTGCAGCAGCGACGCCCTAGCGGCCGCGCCCGCGCCGCCCCGCCCGCCCCGCCCGCCCCACCCGCCGCGCTCGCCGCCTCATCACCGCCCGCCGCCGAGCCCGCCTCCGTAGTACTCTGACATTAAACGACACACGTCAGTCATTCACTCTCAACCCTATGTGTATATAACACTATACTAATGTTAAACACTTCCGTAAGTGCGATAGAGAAGGCAAGAGGCGGCGACCTGTTTCGCGATTTTATTGCACCGCGGGCAGCGAGTGTTTAAGATTAGTATTATAAAATATGATATTTTTTTGACGCAAATAATACGCCATAACGCTAACAAACCGTAACCAAATTAATAATTCCTAATCGGCTGTAATTCGAGAAAATAATTTAATCAATTGAAAAAAGGAAGTGTACACATTATTTAATTGTAAAAGAAATTATAAATAAAACTAACGTACCTAATATAACAGGTACTCTATTCATTAGCGCCATATCTAAATACTTATTGGTATTACATCCCGATCCATTTAAATATTATATAATTATACTTATTTTTACCAGTCATAATAAAAATTACAATAATAATCTAGGCATAAAAATTGATATGCAAAGTTGCGCATGATCATTATTATAGACAAAAACATAACCTAGTCGCTTTAAAAAAACGCAAACGAATTATAAGAATATCAAAATCATCTTATTTTCATTTTATATTTTTAAATGGTAAAAATAGTAAAAAAATTAAATGAATATTTAAAACAAAATTAAGAAATGTTTATTACAGATCATACATGAAAGATAAATCTTGCCATTTCTGTTGCAAATCGTTTAATATAAAACATTGACAAAATGATTTTTAGTTTAATCTATAAAGAACTGTTAGACATAATATCTTTTTTTCATCAACCGTTGATTTTAAAATATTACATCAATACATATAATTATAGTAATGGCTAGGAAAATTGTTTGTTGTGTGAAAATATTAGAATTAAAAATAATTATAATATATTAATCTACAAAAAGTTAAGCTTTATGTACCTATAGCAACTTTATGTTGAAGTCTAGATGAACTTCTATTATTTTTAAAGTTAGAAATAGTATCACAGTTTAAAGACCTTACACGGTCGGGGGTACTGCGGGTCAGGGGGCGGGCCGAATTTGTGCTAGCGCACATCACTGAATCAGATGGACAATACACGCGTTTAGCGCGAGCGTTTTTTATATAGTACTTATTTCAGTGCCGTTTTCGAACAATATAATATCTATAATGGTGAATTACTGTATAGTTATGAGTTACTAAGCAAAATTGTATTCAAATGACGGCCACGCTTATGTTTCCCACATTTTTTGTCGATAAAATTGTTTATCTGAACGCAAATACATTACATTATTAAATTTAAAAACTGCAAACATCCATAAAAAGAAAGTCACGAAAATTTTTTGCAGTGCAACACCTGTAAATGTGTTTTTGCTTGTAGTAGTAATAAATCATCTTATTCAATAAACGTTTTTAACTTATACATAATAACATATAAATGATAATGAGTACTATAATACCAAAAATCATTTTATTTCCATTTTCGTGACAACCCCTGCCGTACACGTTGCCGCATAAATAAATACGTGGGCAGCGGCATTGCCGGACATCCAAACGTTTTACAACGGTAAGGTCTTTAAACTGTGATAATATCCAAAGAATAACTAACGGTCCTAATAAGTTGCAAGGGGCGATCAACTACATGCATTTAATATAAAATCGTATTTTTAATTAAGCGAAGCTTCCTGACAGATGCTAAAGTCACTTTGTGAAATAATGTTGCCAGGTTCATTATAATAGTGATGTGTTCAGTCAGTCAGTTAGTATACGAAGACTTGATGATTACGACTGAAACTAAATTAACCTATCTTGATTGACATTGTGAAATTTGTTGACGAATATTACATAATTGAAATAAACAGAAAAAATATTGTCAGTACGAATAATAATTTAATACTATTGTGACTCGAGGGGGCGCTGTGACTTTCGGAACGCACCCTGCGCCGGCCGTGTCGATCGCCATTTTTTGTGTCATTTGTCTTGCATTGAGCTATTATGTACTACGTACTAGAGGAGACACTGCATTCAGCTACTCTGTTCCACTCAACTGCGGTGCATGCACCGCACTTTAATCAGTAGCTCGCTAGGCGATTGTAGAGTTGTCACGTGTTGTGTGGATTTAAAAAAAATCTCTTGATAAAAATATCCCGTTTTGTGTACTTAGGTATTGCACAAATAATTCAATAAATGTCAGTAAAAACCAAGGAATTACTTTTCGTTAATAAGATACTTAATCAATAAAAAAGTATTATAAATTAATAATAAAACAAATTATTCCTAAGACGCCATCTCGTATCATGGATTATAGATTATGAAATTAATATGTTCAGATGCTACATTTCTGTGGGTACTTCAGTGGGTATAGGACGAATATATTTATTATACACATTTTTTTTGTGGAAACATATATAAGTTATTATAATTAGGCTAAATTTTTCATGTTTAAATCTGCTTATTATTCTTTTATATATTTTTAGGTTTCCACTCAAAGTCAAAGTGGAATAAATTCGTCCATTTTTAACTCTCGCGTGCCCAGCATTTATGAACGAATATTTATAGCATTTCTGATTCTAATTTAAATTAAATTATATTTGATAATATGTTTTAAATTTTGTTTTTTTTATATTTAAATTCATGTAATGGTAATACATAATATGCTTTTTTGTAAATATTATATTAAATAAACAAATATAATATACAAAATAAATGACAAAATTTAAACATTGTTCTCGATATAATTTACCTATTTAACAATACAATCTACTATTACCTACGGATCATTCTTATTCTATGATAAAAAAGAAACTAAACGCGAGGACACAGAGTAGCGCACATTTTTTGTTTGAGAGAGCTGTTCTAGTACGTAAGTACATATTACTTCAATGTTGTCTTGTCATTCATTCGGCTTCTAACCTCTGGTCTGATCGCTCGGATATTTTCTCTGCGCGCTGTTCTCCTGTTGCTTTTTTTAGTTTCTTGTTAAGTTTTTTGTTACCTTGTGTGTTGTGTTGTTTGTTATTGTGTTTCTATATTGTTTCGTACAAACGATATGGAACCTCAACCAAGCACATCGAGCCAAAGCTCTTTTTCCCCAAAAAAAAAAAGCGTTACCGAAAAGCTTATGGTACGCAATGTCTACAAATACGTATTTGAGCAGGAAACTGCTTCGGTATTACCTACTGAAGTACCGAAAAAAAAAGTGTTTCTAAGACAGCTGAAATTTTGGAACACGGTAGTGTTCAGTGTATTAAAAGAATACAAACAAAACGAGCAATTTAAGTCTTCTGAAGAACTTGGACCGAAACATAATTTCAAGAATAAATTAGACGATTTCACTTAGCGGCTATAAGGCGAAAAGTATACCAATTTTTTTATGCAAATAAGGCACCCACCATTGCAAAGCGCGCGAAAAATTTGCGCGCAGCGTTGTGTTTGCGTAAAGCTTATTAGTTATAGATATAGTGTGCGTGACGACTGTCGCTTCACTAATCACCCAAATCGAAGCTGCATATTTACACGCTCACGCACACATAGCGTTTTTTGAGGTTCTATTAGACTTTTTTCTATTGCGTAGACTTTTCACCCATAATCTCTTTAAATTACAGACTCTTAAAGTTGTTAATGATGACCCAGATTTACCGAACTTCTCTTGGAGTAACTTGAGAAAAATTTTAAAACACTTAAATTTCAAATACGCCACAAAATCAAGAAAAAGCGTGCTAATAGATAGACGCGATATTGTTTTGTGGCGCCAGCAATACCTTTCAAAAATTAAAGATTATCGCAGGGAAGGAAGGTATGTTTCAAGATGAAACCTGGATCAACGAAGGTAATTAAAATTTTCTCTGTTTTATTAATCTATTACAGTGTAGGTATTGCATGCCGCCGGTGAATTTAACGAGTAATTGGTAGTTTTCATTTTCTCGAAGTTCACACACCGAAGAAGCAATGGAGTGACCAGACTGTACAATCGTCCCGGCAGGCATTCTTAGAAGGGTTGATCACCGGCTTGAAAGGGTTTTCAGGAAAAGGCAAACAGGTAATTATTAGCCATATATAAGCGGGGAAGAAGGATTTGTAGAAGATAGCTTACTTGTGTTTGAGGCTAAAAAGGAAAAGAAGATTACCATCAAGAGATGAATGCCGAGTGTTTTGTGGGTGGTTTAGTGGGGTTTTGCCAAACTAATACATAATTCCGTAGTTGTGATAGATAATGCCCCCTATCACTCCAGAAAGTTACAATCGCTGCCTACAGTGTCTTGGAATAAACCAAGAATACAAGAGTGGATGGCGAGCAAAAATATCCCATTCGAGGCACAAATGGTAAAAGCTACTCTTATTGACATTGTACGGCGGCACAAACATGAACACTGCGGCAAGTATGCCGTGGACGAGATGGCAGCGGAGCGTGGAGTCACTGTTTTACGTTTGCCCCCTTACCATTGTCAGCTCAATCTCATTGAGCTGATTTGGGCGCAGGCCAAAGGGTATATTGCAAGAAACAACAATACCTTCAAAATGAAAGATGTAAAAAAACTTTTCGAAGAAGAACTAAATGAAGTGACCAAAAAATGGAGTAACTGCGTGGCTCACATAATAAAAGAAGAAGACAAAATGTTTAATCTCGACCACATGATCGACAGTTATATATAGACAAGTTTATAATAAATGTTACTGACAGTGACAGTGATGATATTATATCTGATGACGATGAATAAAAAAATGTGATACTTAAGCAGTTTTTTTTTTATGAAATCCCTATAATGACATACGCTACGGATAATTTTCGCATGATGATCTGACAACATGGATGTACCTTAAATAAACCTTGTAAACGTAATTTTTAAAACCTTCAGTTAAAAAACAATTATTTTTTTACCATTCAGTCGTTTTCTTTATCAGTCAATCGTTTTGTTTTCCGTTCAGTCATTTAGTCACAGCACTACTTTTGATTCATCAAAACCAGACAACCTATTAAACGTAAGCTTCGTTTTATTAAAAATACGACCATAGTGGATTTGCTAAAACTATTCTTACAAGTTTTCACAGGATTACCCCCGTCTGATTACACTGTCCTTTCCTTAATATACCCTCCTACCATTCTTCTATTGAATATATTTGATAGTCCCTCGCATTCAATTAGATTTAGAAACAACCCTTTTAGAGTTATGAAAGTAGTCATGCATCATTTCAATTTTATATTTACTGCACTCAATAAATGAAATAATTCCTATTCTATGACATTTCCAAAGCAAAATAATAAGCAAACTATTACAAAATCAAAAAACTTTTAGTAAGTTTTAGTTACACTACTATTAATCTTAAATACCTTCACCACAGTATACTATAAACGCATGCGAATATAACCCCTCTTTTTTTAAAAAGCTCATTTCAACAAATACAAATTCCTAAAAGCAAATGTATTATTCCACGTGTTCAAAGAATAAAGAAATATCTGAAAATGCGTAGTACGTAGATATTTAAAACCTTCAAGTAGGAAGTATTATTAGAAATCACATCACAAAAGCTTCTGTAAGTACTCTAGAAATGTACCAATTGAAACCGATTAAGGATGGTGTACTATAAAAGTTTAATCAATTCTACTACTAAGTAAATAGTTTCATCAATCAAAGGCAGTCGGCAGGTGTTGGCACATTTCCATGATACAGCTTCTAAGGATCAATATGATCGATTTGATAACACACGCAGCAGAGCAGACTCAATACGCAATAATTATAGGTAGGTATGTAGATCTACAAAACATAATAAAAACCGATACAGAACGTGTGGTAGTAACTAGGTGTTTTGGTCTCGCTGGCCGCGTCCCAAGCTTACCGGTGTGCTCTGTTGCGACTCCCACGAGTTTGTCGGCGCAGCAGACGCTCGGCCCCCCACCACACTGCCGCCACCTACATACGTACACACCAATACATTGGCAGTGACCATCCGCGACACTGACAACGATCGCTCAACTCCCCGTCTAACTACATTATTTTTACAAATCAGCTTTTAAAAATTACTTTTCGTACACCTTGTTCAAATATTGCTACAAGGTCCATAATAAATTTACAAGTTTTAAATTTAAATGGTTAGCATTCACAAAATTTTTAACGTTGATTAATTATAATCATTTGAAAATAAGCACAATTAATCACAAAAATTACTAAGTAATATAATTTTCAGATATGAGTTCATTCAACTCTATTTTATTATAACCCACGGGATAAAAAGATCTATGAACGGTTGTTAATTGACGGATAAGCAATATGTTAGTAACATACAGTCTAGAATTTCTTAAAAGTTATGAACTTTAAAATTAAAAAAAAAATTAAAATCAATAACCAATATTTCGAGAAAAAACTAAAATCCCGATCAGATGAATATTGTCCAACAATTTCAAACTTGATTATATGTTAACGGCAACTTAACACATTTGATCCTGTTTTTGTTAGTATGATGTGTGACCGGTAATTAGATGTTAGTTACAGCACCGCTTCCAGAACGTTCTACAATGTTATGTGATTCAGCCACAATGAATAGAAGATAATATTGACTGTCGTTCAATAACATAATATAATAATGTAATTGTTTTTTTCTTTTTTTTTTTTTTGAAGAATTGAGAATGCTACTTAGGAATTGTAAGGTATCTTCGGTTTAAAATGTACACTGTGAAATAAGTATTATCGATTAATACGTTTACAAATATCAGGTTTCATATAGCTATCGATCGGCAGTCAAGGCAACCGTGGAGTGCAGTAAGGAGCAGGGGTGGATGTGTGTGGATGCACTGACCGGGCGCGGGCATGTCGAAGGTGAGCAGCGGGTCGAGGTCGGGCGCGTGCAGCGGCGCGTGCAGGTCGGGGCGCGCCGCGCGGGCGCCCACCACAGCGCGTAGCTCGTTGCGCACGTACTCCGACGTGCCGCCGGCCGCGCACGCCGCGCCCGCCGCCCCCACGCCGCCTGACACGCCGCCAGAACCCCCACCTGTGCAATCAATCAGAGCTAATTATCTTCTGTTCACCAGATGTCGCTAGTTATAGTTAGCGAGCTGAGGTGCAATGTTTTATAATAACACACAATATCACATAATTGAGAAGTTAACGCACCTTCTCAATCACATAAAACTTTACCGGTTTCTAGCGTATTATATAAATACGTATATATATATATATATATATATATATATATATATATATATATATATATATATATATATATATATAATACATAACAATGCCACAGTAGCTTGCTTCATAATGTTTTTCACATTTTAACTTTTTTTAATTTTTCGACTTTTACAAATATCCGTAGTTTGGATTATCCATTTTTAATCTAATAAATATGAAATATAACTGATATCTTTGAAGAAAAAAATTAATCTCTACACTTTTCTAACCTATAAAACCGTCAAATATTTCTGCTCACTCGTGGCAGGCAGAAAAAGTCGTGAATGCCCTCCCTCACTTTCCTTCTCAAATGGAACCCTCTATTAATTATGATACACGGGTGTCGTAACGGTGAAGTAGAACAGAATTAAAATACAGGCTTTATGTAGAGATATTCATAAATTTAAAAGTATGTATGTTCACTTATATCTGAAAAATAATTATGTAAGTATACAACACTGACATTAATAAACCTGTTAGTATATGGTATGGTTTCAAAAGACGAACGCCATATTTCATGATGTCAAACAAAAAAGTTGATGATGGTAAAAAAAGTTATATTTTGCTTTCTTTGACAGATTCGAATTAAACACTACACATGTTGTAATAAAATGTAGGTAATTTTATAATTCTTTAAATGTACGTAAAAGGTTTATACATGTTGTGAGAACACTTGCATAAAGTAATTGCGGAATGATTAGTGTAAAACATCAAAAGGCATTTCTGAGATTTGGTTGAGTATAGCATATTTTTATAGGAAGCATAAATTAATGCCACTATCTCTTTCCGCCAGTTTCAGACTAAGATAAATAACAGTTTCCAACATTATCTTTACCAATGCTTAAAATAACTTCGTTATCTGGTAGTCACATATTATTTTACTGGAGAGACATATATATTGAATTTTCTTGTTTATCTGTTACGTGAAAATAATTAATCTAGTAGTTAGCATTTTTCAGTTGTAAATTACACAATTAATTTAGAAGCATAGAATACTATAATACATATATAACAGAACTGGGAAGCAAATTATTTATAAAATGCTAAATTGCACACTATTTACAAATAAATATGAATTCATATTTAAACGATTTATTTTTAGTGATGATCTGGAACATTAAATAAAAGTTTAAAATGTGTAAATTTACTCAGTCTGTCAACACACCGAATCGGGTTTGTAGTAGTGATAATACGATGTAATTGCTTATATGTTGTTCCCGGCGACGCCGATCCTCGTACAAAATAAAGTTGACAGCTATTCTATATTTTATAAGTATGAACAATTGTTGTCCAACGTATTGTAATGTATTATCAATTACAAATAATACAGTGTAGATTAGATTTACCTTACTAAAAAAAACACTCCGATTAAATAACGAATACTGCATTTTATTATATAAAATATTTATTAAAGAAATTTGTTTAGGCATTAGATAATTGATTAAAGTATCAAGTTAATAATCATGCATAGCAATAGTAACAAGATCAATTAAGAAGTAAAAAATACATCTACTACAAACCATATATGGCCACATACATAATATTTTAACATCTTACCTTATTAGATTCAGTATGAGTAAGTTTGTTTACCACGATAATTTTATCAAGCAAACCTCGCATATTATGTCAAGATTCAAGAAGAATGTTATGATTTCTTTTGCCATTGTGCCCTCGTTTTAAATAATCTGCGCATGACGTACATAGGAAAATAATATAAAAGCAGTTGGTCAACTGTAACAGCGATTAAGCTATATCAGCGGCACTTGTCGCGACAGCTTCTCAAGATAAAGCTTAGTATTAAAAACATTTAATAAAGAAGGTGAAATTAAGTTACTGTTAAAATAAACTATTTATATTCATGAAACCAATTCTATAGAGGTTGTCATAATTTTCAAAAAAAAAATCTGATTTTATAAAAAAATGGAAACATGAATATTATAACTACAGAATAATTGTACTACTTAAAATTATGTCAAATTCTGTTTTAAATTTAACGTTAGTAGACTTTCTTTCAAAAACAAAATCATTATTTTAAACTTTTATTGGTTACTATTTAACTATGTACTAATTCTTCTTGTTGTTAAGAGCGTAGTCGGTCTGCGCGGGAATTGAGAAATAGGTATTTGAAGAAACTTTTGCCGTCGCGTTCCGCCCGAGCAACTGAGGTATCAATGTGTGAGTGAATAGTCTGAATCCGTATTGTTTACGGACTTGATTCTCTGCTTCACTGTTCTGACTCGGCTTATGTGTCGGATTTGAATACCTTTTTGTTTCAACGACTGGATAAAAATCGTGAGTATTATTTTATTTGTAAATAAAATAATTTTATCCTTAATCTGGTTACCCCCTTGAAATCGACAAAAGAAATTCAATAATTTAACAAAACACTACTTGTAAAGTACAAGTAGTGTTTTGTTAAATTATTGAATTTTGTTTGATATAATGTCAATTTACAAATATAATCATACCATAATTATTTTTGTTTCAGGAAAACTCTTTTTCACAAATAATGGGTCGAAGAAAAGGGAACAAAATGAGTCTATTCTTGAGTGCTAAGAGAGAAAAAACATCATTTACGTATAAAACGGAAGATTCATTTTGCACCGTGTACAGTATTCAATTTTCATATCTACTATGGTCAAAGGGGCGCGAGATGGTTAATTTGGAATAGCAAGGCTGGATTCTATTTCAGATGGTCCTTGTCATTGCAGATCTTCTGCATCTTGGATTGCAGAGGCCTGTCCGGCTACGTTGAATGTATGTGGTGCAATGAATGATACAATGGATGAAGTATGCCATATGCTGTATGATAAAGGAATAAATGTGTTATGTGTAAATGAGACGAAACGGATGGGGAAGGACGTCACTACGCATGGCATGTATACTGCGTACTGGTCTGGTGTAGACGAGATCGAGCGGGCATGCCAGGGAGTAGGTATCATCCTTTCAAAAAGAATGGGCCAATGTGTGAAAGAGTGTGAATGTGTAAGCCCAAGACTGCTATGGATACGAATGAAAGTGGGCTTAAAGAAGCTTTTTGTCTAGGGGTCTACGCCCCAGACAGGTCTAAGCCCACTTATATCCGAGAGCAGTTTTGGGAAATGGTAAGGATGATAATAATAACAGCTTTCGGTGCCTAGAAGATTGCAATGCAGTGGACGATATGAATGACATTCTCGTGGAAACTGTCCATGCGGTCTAAGCAGGTCGGAGCTAAGTTCTGCAAGACCCGCCGCAGAAGAACACAAAAACTCTCCGATCACACTCTTAATCTCATGACTGTTAGACGGGAGACGAGGCTGCAATCGTCAACAGATTTGACAGCAAACAGGCAACTGAACAGACAGATCTCCAAGTGTGAGTAACGATCCAAGAGCAAGTCTTATCCCACACTATTTCGATGATATCCCAGACGTCAGTCTGAGCGAGATTAGAATGGCTCTTCAGCACCTTAAAACGGCAGGGCCACCAGGCGAGGATGGAATTACAGCGGAGCTTCTGAAAGCGGGTGGAACCGGTACTTGAAGTCCTTCAGAAGCTTTCAATTCCTTCCTCCATGGTGGCACTACTCCGGAGGCGTGGAGCAGAAGTGCGGTGGTCTTGTTCTTTAAGAAAGGCGACAACGCTCTCTTGAAGAACTACAGAACGATTTCCCTTCTGAGCCGCGTCTACGTGTGTTTTCGAGAGTCATTACGAATCGTCTGGCACGCAGACTCGACGACTTCCAGCCTCCCGAACAAGCCGATTTCCGAAAAGGCTTCAGTATCATAGACCACAACATACATACCTTGCGGCAGATTGTACAGATGCCCGAAGAGTACAATCTGCCACTTTGCCTGGCGTATGTGGACTATGAGAAAACCTTTGATTCCGTCGAAATTTGGGCGGTGCTACAGTCCATTCAGCAGTGCCAAGTTGACTGTCGGTATATCGAAGTGCTGAAGTGTTTGTACAGTAGGGCTACGATGGCTATCCGAGTACAGAACCAGAGTTCGAAACCTATCCAACTGCAGAGAGGTGTAAGACAGGGTGACGTTATATCCCCGAAACTCTTCACCGTTGCGTTGAAAGACGTTTTCAAGCTACTGAACTGGAAAGGATACGGTATTAACATCAATGGCGAGTACATCACTCACCTTCGATTTGCCGATGATATAGTCCTTAAGGCAGAATCGCTGGAGGACCTTAGCACTATGCTTAATGACCTCAATGGTGTCTCCCAACGGATAGGTCTTAAGTTGAACATGGACAAAACAAAGAACATGTTTAATGTCCATGTCACACCTATGCCGGTAGTTGTTGGGAGCACTATGCTCGAAGTTGTTGATGAGTACGTTTACCTGGGACAAATAGTCCGACCTAGGTAAGTTCTACTTCGACCGAGAGGTCACTCGACGGATTCAACTCGGCTGGGCAGCGTTCGGGAAATTACGACACATCTTCTCGTCAGGTATACCTCAATCTCTGAAAACTAAAGTTACAACCAGTGCGTGTTGCCAGTGATGATTTACGGATCTGAGACGTGTTCCTCTGCTGGCCGTATGAGGACGCTCAAGGTCGCTCAGCGAGCTATGGAGAGGGCTATGCTCGGAGTTTCTCTGCGTGATACTCAGAAATGAGGATATCCGCAGTAAAACCAGAGTGACCGACATAGCCCAACGGATTAGTAAGCTGAAGTGGCAATGGGTCGGCCATATAGCTCGAAGAACCGATAACCGATGGGGAAGAAAAGTTCTCGAGTAACAGCCTCGTACCGGTAGGCGTAGTGTAGGGCGACGCCCCACTAGATGGAGTGACGACCTGGTAAGACATGCAGGAAGTCGATGGATGCAGGTGGCTCAGGACCGTGCTTTGTGGCATTACTTGGGGGAGGCCTATGTTCAGCAGTGGAGTTGTGAAGGGCTGTAGTGATGATGATGATGAAGGATGATGTTAATGAAATGTAAGGGAAATGAAAATATTATTATGCTAGGAGATTTTAATGGAAGGGTTGGGGTGAGGAGGCTTAGTTATGAAAGGATATTGGGAACGTTTGGTGATGAAAGTATAAATGAGAATGGTGAAAGCCTCCTCACCGTATGTATGGAAAAGAATCTTTTTGTGACGAACACTTTCTTGCGCCACAAGAGGATTCACATGTATACTTGGGAAAGGAGTGATGATAGAAGCGTGATAGATTTCATAAATGTGGATGAAAGAATGAGGGGCGCAGTGGTAGATACAAGGGTTTACCGGGGGTCTAATAAAGGAACGGATCATTATTTGGTTTTATGCCGAATTAATGGTCTATTCAGGCGCTGACGCCATCGGTCATCTGTTTCTACCACAGCGTTACAGCATATTAGAACAGAAAGGTTACAAGATGAAGGTGAGAAAAACAAGTACAAATGTAGACTGAAGGAAAATATGTGGTTTGGATGAATTATGTATGAATGAGTGAGACTTGGAAAATGGATGGCATAATGTTAAAAAAGGTTTAGTGGATGCAGCTACCAATGTGTGGTGCTAGTAAGAGGAAGAATGAAAGGAAAAATAATACGTTATGGTGGGATGATGTGATACATATGGAAGTTGAAGCAAAGAAGAGCATGGCTAGATTTACTAGCAACAAAGGCTTGTAATTCTAGTGGTACAAATGATATTGAAAGAAAAAAAGCAATCTTTAGACATCTTAATAACAGAGTAAAAGAAGTAGTTGAAAGGAAAAAGCAAGAAAGAACGGATAAGAATGATAGAAGAATATTGGATAACTTCCAGGCAAATATTAAAATGTTCTGGAAACTCGTAAGAACTACCAGGGGGCATTCAAAAAAACCTAGGTTTTTTTGAATGCTTTCAGAGACGAGAATGGCTATATTCTGAATGATGAAGTTTTGAGTTTAAAGAGATGGAAGGAATATTTTAAAAGCGTGTTTATAAGTGAGGAGATGACGTATGAACTAAATGAAATAGAAACTCTGAAAGAAGAGGAAAGCGGTAGCGAGATAAGTATAAATAAAATAATGAAAGCAATGAAAAGCATGACAGCAGCTAAGGCTGCCGTTTTATAAATTTGCTTGTGCGAGACACAAGTGTGGTTTCATTTTTGTGATGGAAAATACAATGTAAACTATATTTAAAAGACATAGTATTTTTTGTGTTATGGAGCTTACATAGAAAAGGGACTTCGTTGGAATTAGTTTTAAAGTTGGTTTACGAATGATGTTCCATAAGTAGTCTATTTAAGATTTAGAAGGGAACTTTTGACAGATACATGAAATGCAATCAACATTACTTGTAAACAAAGGTTGTAACTGTAAGAGAAAGGATGGAAATGACGACAGAATAAATGTACATATTAATTATTATATAACTTTTGTATTATTTAAAATACCCACAAGCACCTCTTTTGCCACATAAATATTAAAAATTTACTTGATCAGAGCAATCATTATTTTACAAACTCCCCAGTAAAGCTAGCAAATCAAGTAAGCACAATTATCACAACAAACAGTTGAGTGCAAACATTAGTTACTTCTTATTTCATTTCAAATAATAGTCAACTAAACTCTTTAATTATCATTGAATTGTTACTTCGTTGTTTCTTGAAAAATACAAAATGAGCATCTAACTTCACTCTTCTGTACCGCGTGTAAATCAGCAATAAGATAAACGTCGATATCGACTGACATCACTATGATATCGATAAAAAATGGTGTACATATTAGCATAGAATCAATAATAGTACTATATATAATATACTATATTATACGTAGTATTAGTCTAACCCTCCCTCACCTCTGGTCTCCCCCTGTAGAGTGCGATAGGGACAACTGCAGCATAGAACGATTTTACCTATAAAAATCATGACCGATCGATGTTTCGTATTCTCCTGTTTTCTCCACGAAAACTAAGCCGATTAAATTATTTTTGTTATCAAAATTTAAACGAAGAATAGATCTATGCTCCTATTATTTGCTTTTGTCTTAAAAACCTTTGAATTTATTTTGGTAGTCGTCTCATTATGGAGGCAAAAACGGGGCATTTTTTTTTTGGATTTTGGAATGTCATATTTATTTTAGTAATATTTTTTTGGAAAAAAGTAAATGACAGGGGCATGCCTTTAATAGACCTAGATTTTAATAAACAAAAACGAATACTCTAGAGACATTGTCCAGGAAGACAATAGGGGAATACATTTGTATGGAAAATATACAGCCCATCTACGCTCTTAATTCTCAATATACGTTCACATTATACCGCGTTGCATTTGTGGTCACATTTATCATCACCGATTATCATTTTCAATTTTGACGTCGTTGCTATTAATATATAGACTATAAAAGTTAGCTCATTGCTATATAAATAAAGTAATGCTCAGTGACAAAAGAGACACGAACAGTTAGTAGTACTGCTAGGCTTCGGTGTCGGTAGGACGTACTTACAAGACATCGGTTGGTCGTGCGCCGCCGGGTGCGGCGGATGCGGGGTGTGCGGCGGGTGAACCGGGTGCGGGGGGTGCGGCTGCTGCGCGCCGTGCGCCCGCCGCCCGTATTCCCCGCAGTAGCCGCTGGCGCTCGCCTCTCTCTCCTCATAGTAGCCGCCCACTGCCACACACGCCGCGTTATCAAAGTACGCGAACACGTGCCGAGCCTACACGAACACCTACCTAAACCGTTGCGCTTCACTCGCCCGGAATTGGCAAACGAAATACGTTGGACGTATGCGCCGTTCGCACGAGACTCGCGTCAAACTTCCATACCATCGAACTACGGGTAAACGAGCTGGGAAACTTACACTGTCGGCGATGAGAATAACGCATACCGAAGTTACACATGCGTCTATATAAATTTTAACCTATTGAAACTTCTAACTAATATCGGTCACTTAATAAAAATACTACTAAGGTAAAGCTATAATCATGCAATTAGTAGTACTTTTAAATTAGATTGGGCAGCACTGGAAAGGAGATAAAAGTATATAGTCTATCTAATATTCTACTATAATAGGCATGCTGAAGAATCGAAACCGGTTTATAGCAGATCATGCTTCCATTTTAAAAATAATTAATTGTTCAAGTATCAGATCTACCTTCAAAAATTAATGGTATCTTAATGCAGAAGCGAATTATACAAATATATAAAATCTGTACTTAGTCAGTTATTAGATAAAGGTTAAATGATTTGTAAAGAAAAATTTCAAATTTACTTGTAGATAAAATTGTGCCTACGAAAACATATAAAAATTTAACGCGAATATATAAATTAAATAAAATTAAGGGGAAAAACTGTTAACAATAGACAAACAACAGTGTTGTCGAAAATGTGTAATAATACTAGTACAGGCGGAGGAGGAAGGCGAGCGCGTCGCCTGTCGTGTGGCGTCGGGCGCAAGGCACGCGATGACGCGACTCACCGAGGTGCGGGCGCGGCGCGCGGTGGTAGGGCTGGTGCGACACCGGCGTGTGCAGCGCCGCCGCCGCCGCCGCCGCCGCGTGCGCGTACCCGCCCGCGCCCCCTCCCGACCCGGCGCCAGCATTCTGCAACATAACCCCCAAATACTAAAAATAACACGAAATCACGAACGACGATCAACGTAAGCCTTACATAACGTTTCCTTACGACCTCCCAAAATGTTAAATTCCTTTAATGTTCACTTTTTTCCATTTTGAACAAACTTGACCTCTATAAGACGAAAAAACACAGTAAGGTTCAAGTCCCTAAAAAGCATTTCCCAAAGAAAAAAGGATTAGTTTACGACAAAAATCGAATAGCGGAATGAAAGTACATTGACTATTAATGATTTCTTAAATTTACGCGAACACTACACATTGAATAAAACTAAATTTACGGATTTTATCGCGTTTATTTCACTACTTTTACTTATTTTTTTTTAATTCCCGACGTTTCGGGTGCTTTACAGCAACCATGGTCACGGGGGGGGACTGAGATGTTTGACGTCCCAATGTCATAGTTAGTCCGGCAAAAATTTACCTTCAAAAACTGAAGGTAAGTTTTTGAAAATTAATTTTTGGTCCGATTTACGCAAAACGAGCTTATAGTATCATGAAGTCTTGCAGTGGTATGCTTAGGTTTGGGTTTAATTTTGTTAATTATAGGATCCCAAGCAGGTGGCAGCACCCATCCATCTTCTCTATTGAAATTTGGATGTTTTTTTAATTTCAATAGCCTCGCGTATCATCCTTGGTAGGAATCGGTGTTCTTTTGCGAGAATTTGTGGTTTATCAAAACGAATGTAATGGTGGGGAAGATCTTGAACATGTTCGCAGACTGCAGACTTCCCGGAGCGTCGGTGCTTCATAAATAGCTGAATCATAATATGCGTGAAGCACCGACGCTCCGGGAAGTCTGCAGTCTGCGAACATGTTCAAGATCGTCCCCACCATTACATTCGTTTTGATAAACCACAAATTCTCGCAAAAGAACACCGATTCCTACCAAGGATGATACGCGAGGCTATTGAAATTAAAAAACATCCAAATTTCAATAGAGAAGATGGATGGGTGCTGCCACCTGCTTGGGATCCTATAATTAACAAAATTAAACCCAAACCTAAGCATACCACTGCAAGACTTCATGATACTATAAGCTCGTTTTGCGTAAATCGGACCAAAAATTAATATTCAAAAACTGAAGGTAGCCGGACTATGACATTGGGACGTCAAACATCTCAGTCCCCCCGTGACCATGGTTGCTGTAAAGCACCCGAAACGTCGGGAATTAAAAAAAAATAAGTAAAAGTAGTGAAATAAACGCGATAAAATCCATAAATTTAGTTTTATTCAATACATTGACTATTTTTTGGATTCGCAATATCTACTTGTTTTTCACAAATCTTGAAAATCTAACGTTAGTAATTCCAACATTTTGGAAACTTGAAATTATACCGGGGTTTTTCCAAAATGATCTTTCCAAATTATAAGTTAGGCATAGGATTAATGGAAAAAGTAATTTGTCAATAAGAGCAAAATTTTTGTTTTGTCTATGCAGGTGAAGCATTAACGAAAATGACCACCCCTATGAAATGGAAGTGTGTGGATTGATGGATAGGGGCCAAATCTGCCACCCAGGTTGTCGTTAAAAGGGTTTTGGACGACATTCAAAGTTCGCTGATTGGTCGTAGTGGACGCATTACCTCGTCCCAAAGATCTCCCTCCGGACACCAGACTTTTCTTTTGGGTTTGTGTAGGATATGGCCTCAGTGCGAAACCTGCAGGAACTGCGAGCACACGTAGGCACAGCACTTGAACACGTCACGAAAGACATGCTAGGTCGAAAGCAGGCGGAGCTGGAATATCATCGGTAGATTTTCTGCGTGCTACATATGACGCACACATTAAACTTTTTTAAACGGCTACTACAACTTTACGGTGCGTGTAAACATTATGCCTCAAACCGCACATTACTCTATATCACGTGAATTCAATATATTGTAAAGTTGATGAAAGGGCCAAAATCACTGACCTCTATATATACAAGTACGCTGGACTGGCTATTCCATACGAAATGGCTGTGCCAATTTGAAGCGCCGCTAAAGGATGTCTTGAAAAATAAAATTGACATAATATGCCAAAGTATGTTGTCTTATTCATATTGTCATTTAATAAGTCTGTATTTTGCACTTTTAAACTAAAAAACGAAAGTATTTTATGTTATTTGATTGTGTTTAATATTAGTTGCATAATAAGAATTATTTTTATTAATAATGAGAGGGTGAGTAATCTGTAAAATTCGTTACCAAAAGGGAAGTGGTGTAACATTTCACAAGTAAGTGAATTTGCAGTAAATATTAAACAAATTGAAACTATTTGATAATATAAGTACTTAGAAATTTGTTACTAATCTTAATATCATATATAAAAACATGTTTGGCTCTATATTACTGAGTTTTGATAAACAATAAAATTCAATAGGGTTGTCGAGTTCCGTGTCTATAATACTTATCGATGTTCTTTCCTTATCCATATATACCCATATCTGTTAACAAACAAAGTCACCAACAACAAATGATTATCAAATGTTTATTAATTAAAAGGTTTCCAACTGAACCTAGACTAAAATTATGGCTTAAAATCATAAATATTGTGAATTGGCGTCCGAAACAAAATGATCATATTTGTTCCAAACATTTCACAGACGACTGTTTTATTAGACATGAGAACTGTGAACTGATGAACACTTTGAAAAAGTGCAGTATACCGACATTATTTTCTGGTAGTACCAGCACCAAGCACTACCAGCTACCAAGTACGAAGTATTAGATTCTTATTTCGAATGTTTTTTTATTTCTTTTTTCTCTATTTTCCACCAAACTCAAGGGCCATAGCCAAGTGTCGAAAGGTTGCCTGATGATGTCGAGCCACGTTGCATGTGTTAGTGGGCTGCGGCTAGAGGAGATTCCTCTCCCTAAACCGCTGGAAGTTGTGTTGCGATGCGCCACTCAACTGTTTTTCGCAACTTTGGTGAGGCTGCACCACTTGATGCTTCCAAGTGCTCGTTTTTCCTTGGCTCCATTCACATATCGGGCTCGGTAATTGTTAATTTCAGTTATTTTTTTTTAATATTGTAATTTTAATTTCGAAAATGACGTTGTAAATAACTGATAACTATGTAATTCAAAGTTTATATTTTTTTATATTATCTTGCTAGCTCATACCCGGCGCATTGCTGTCACAGAAGAAATAATTGTGGAAATATTGTTAAAAATGTGGAACAGTTATATTGTATAATTAGGAATGATAATACAATCAATTGAAATAGAATGATATATAACTTTCTATAACTTTCAAATAAACAGTCAGTATAATACGCACGCCACCTAGTGTCAGTTAATTGTACCATGCGTATAACCTTCGCACAAGTGCAACCAATAAGTTGACTAACTTTTACCGTAATCTGATGAACGGTATGGCATCGTAGAAAGTACGAACAAACGTAAATTTTTATATAGTAGAAAATATCTTACTGTCAATAGACAGACTTGTAGTTGATTAGAATAGGCGTTATTATAGCAGCTGATTTGTTTTTTATAATACAAAAACAAAATGAACGGTTGACAATAAATTATTCTAGAAATTGTTTTTATTTTTATTTTGTGTACTTATGTTGAGCGCTATGATGGATATCCGAGTACATAACCAGAGTACAAAACTAATCCAACTGTAGAGATGTGTAAGACAGGGTGACGTAATATCCCCGAAATACTTTACCGCTGCATTGGAAAACGTTTTCAACCTACTGGACTGGAAAGGATACGGTATTAACGTCAATGTCGTGTACGTCACTCACCTTCGATTTGCCGACAATATAGTCCTTATGGCACAATCGCTGCAGGACCTACGCACTATGTTCAATGACCTCAATAGTGTCTCCCAACAGATAGGTCTTAAGATGAACATGGACAAAACAAAAGTCATGTGTAATGTCCATGACACACCTATGCCGGTGGTTTTTGGGAGCACTTAGCTGAAGTTGTTGATGAGTATTTTTATTAGGACAAATAGTCCGACTAGGTAGGTCCGTCGATTGACCTGTCGGTCGAAGTTGAACTTGAAGGTCAATCGACGGATCCAACTCGGCTGGGCAGCGTTCGGGAGATTACAACACATCTTCTCGTCAGGAATACCTCAAAACTAGATTGTACAACCAATGCGTGTTGCCAGTGATGAAATATGGATCTGAGACGAGGTCTTTCACTGCTGGCCGTATGAGGATTGAGGAAGCTCGAAGTCGCTCAACGAGCTATGAAGAGGGCTATGCTCAGGGGTTCAACCTTAGGAATGAGGATATCTGCAGCAGAACCTGAGTGACCGACATCGCCCAATGGATTATTAAGCTGAAGTGGCAATTGACCGGTCATATAGCTCGAAGAACCGAATACCGATGGGGAAAAAAGGTTCTCGAGTGGCAGCCTCGTACTGGCAGGTGAAGTGTAGGACGTTCCCCCACTAGATGGAGTCAAAACCTGGTAAGACATGCAGGAAGTTGGTGGATGCAGGTAGCTCAGGACCGTGCTTTGTGGCATTCCTTGGGGGAGGCCTATGTTCAGCAGTGGATTTGTGAAGGGTTTTAATGATGATGAATGATAATGGCGTTATATTAATATGATACATAAATAGAATGGATGTTACGGGTAGAGTCCATCTATCCATAGAGTCCATTCTATTTATTTAGGTATTGGTAGGGTATAGAATTTTTATCGATATAATTTGGTACACTGTTTTATCCCTATTATTAGTTCTGTGGACGTGCACTTCTGCTGTCAGCGCCATAATGGTGCAAATCAAATCACTTCAGCATGTCACGGTGTATAGCCAGTCCAGCGTACTTGTATATATAGAGGTCAGTGGCCAAAATGGAATACAAGGTGGCTGGCATCAACTAAATGCGTAAAACCAAAACTTAAGCTTAGTTCCGCACCTCATCAGCTCTACATCTACTTCCAACAGTGAACTACAGCTTCGAATGCTGATGACGTTTATTCACGAAGAATTATCTCACTAAAAATATACCGAGATACAGAGAATGCCATATTGACATTTTTTTAAATTCACAAGGAAGTGCTTAATTACGTTACGATCCTACTTGTTTGTAAGTGGTGATTACGTCGTGTCAATCACATTATTACTGGTTTCAAGCCTCATCTTTAATTCTCTAAGAATTCCGAGACCGTTAGTTGAGCATTTTTGGACTCTGTTGAGATTTTTTTATTTTTTTTATTTATTTTAAAAAACCAACAGCGATTTAACAATTTTAAGGACTTAAAGTATACAGCTTAAATGTAAGGCCTATTAAAGGTTTTTTCAGTTATATAAACAAAATATATTATGGACGGTACAATTTAACTATTCTTTGGATTTATTATAATACATATGTATGTACTAATCCAATTATATATATATATATATATATATATATATATATATATATATATATATATATATATGTTCACAGATATGTAACTAAATGTTTATACTAATTACACTTTTATATACGTGTATGTAGAAGTACTATTTGTTTTATTTATTTCTCTGCAAAACTTTTATATGCAGCCAGTGCAGAACATTCTTTTATGTAATTTAATTTAATGAAATATGAAATATCACACCTGTATATTTATTTATTTTTTTTAAACCGTTACACTTATGTCAGATTTACACTCAACAATCAAGTAAGAAATGATTATACTAAATGATGCAAAGTATGAATTCATTTTCATATTATAATAGAGTTGATTTATGTTCATTACTATTTATTTATTTTTGTGTAGGGAGTCCTACTAGATGGAGTAACGACCTGGTAAGACATATAGGAAGTCGACGGACGCATGCGGCTCAGAATCGTGCCTTGTGGCATTCCCTGGGGGAGGTCCACGTTCAGCAGTGGACTTATGAAGGGATGTAATGATGATCATCATGATTAAGCAAATCCAAATGATTTACTCGTTTTGCACCTCATTTAGAATTTTAAGAGCTTTAGCTTTAAAGGCTGGTTTACTAAAAACAAAGAGATCTATATCACTAAAGATCTCATTGTATGTCCTGAGCATTCGGTTTATAGGCGCATTACGTGCATAATTGGTGCCAGCAAACGGCACATGCAATAAAGGGTGCGGCCGACGGCGGACACGACGCGACGGTACTTTGTATGTTATGCTCGCCACCAACTCAGGGCAGTCTACCTGTCCACGGACAATATCATACAAAAAACATACGTCCATTAATTTACGTCTGTTTTCGAGTGTCAATAAATTATAAGATTGACAAGTATTTTCATAGGTTACAAGTGGTGATTTGAAAAAACGATAATTTAGATAATTGATGAATTTTTCCTGTATGCGTTCTATACGATTTTTATAAGTAGCGTATTGGGGAGACCAAATTGGACTGGCATATTCTAATATACTGCGAACATAAGCATTATACATAATTTTAAGGGTATTAATATCTTTAATTTAGTAGCAAGAAACCGGAAAGCAAATATTATAATGTTCTATTTGTCTAGCACAAATATATAGATATTATATATTTTATATTAGAAAACATATACAACTCATTTTAGCAAGCCCCTTACAATAGGACTAATAAAAAAGAAAATAACAACGTCCATTAATGGAGGGTTAGAACAGACTTCATATATCGTTGTTATAAAATGAATTTGTTTATACAAAAAAAAAACAACTCCGCAACTGTACTCGTATATTACAGATTAACGACGAGAAAGATAAGTAATTATATGAAACTAAACTAATTAATCACACGCTGGATGTATTTATAAAGGATATATTGGCGAATAAAGTACGCGCAAAACTTAATTGCATCTCCGAAGTACATCCACATCGCTACGCAAACCACCATTTTAAAAGGTAGGATGAGGTGCAGGCGGCATATCCGAGCCATTCATAATCGTTTTCCTTCTTGCTCGCTCACTGTGTCACATGCGCTCCCGTACAGTTGCGTATTATTACTGCGTATGCTTAAAAACGGCAAAGTCCCAGACAGGATGGAATTACAACGGAGCTTCTGAAAGCGGGTGGAAAACGGGCACCTGAAATTCTTCAGAAACTCTCTAATTTCGTCTCCCACGGTGGCACTATTTCGGAGGCGTGAAGCAAAAGCGCGGTGGTCCTGTTCTTCAAGAAAGCCAACAACACTCTCTTTTAGAACTACAGACCGATTTACATTCTGAGCCGCATCTACGTGCTGTTTTCGAAAGTCATAACGAATCGTCTCGTACGCAGACTCAACGACTTCCAGCCCCCTCAACAAGCTGGTTTCCGAAAACTTTGGTACTATAAACCACATACATACCCTTCGGTAAATTGTATAGAATATCGAAGAGTAAAATCTGCCACTTTGCCTTGCGTATGTGGACTATGAGAAAACCTTCAATTCCGTCGAAATTTGGACGGTGCTACAGTCACATCAGCAGGGGCAAGTTGACTGTCGGTATATCGAAGTGTTCAAGTGTTTGTACAGTAGGGCAACGACGGCTATCCCAATGCAGAATCAGAGTACGAAACCTGATTCTGAACTGCAGAGAGATGTAAGACAAGGTGACGTTATATCCCCGAAACCTTTCACTGCTGCATTAAAAGACGTTTTCAAGCTACTGGACTGGAAAATATACGGTATTAACATCAGTGGCGAGTACATCATCCACTTTCGATTCGTCGACGATATAGTTTATAGACACTCGCGCCACTATCACTCAAAAAACGTGCCTCAAATATCTGGGAGCACTCGCAGGACACGCGCATAACATGAACATGAGCGTAACTCATTGTACGTGCCTGCGACAGCACGTGAGAGCTAATGCGGATTTCGTTTATTACGCTATAGGTTTTATAAGCTGCCACTCGCACGCGCCGCCTGATGACAATTGCGAGCACGAGCACGTGCGGCGGGCCTAAGAAAATTAATTTTTTTGCACGCCTACGAAAGTGACAGTTGACGTTCCTATTCTTATCCCATTTGAATCATTTGATTGAATTAAATTGAATTTAAATTGAATCGCATTGTAACTCAATTTATTCTCGTAAGAGATTCATTTAAATTTTTCGGGTATTTTCAATAACTAAGACGAAAAAGTGCACAATGTTGTATACTAAATACTAATAATAACTACTGATGAAAAATGAAACTTACACACAGCTGTCGACTGAGCATTGGGTTCTGTTGAGGAGTTGTGATTTTATTTGTACCATAATTTGAACCCATTTGATCTGTAACGAAAATAAATGAATATCTTGTAAATGTGATATAGAATTTTCAGTATAACAAAATACACAAGGATTGGTGGTCCGCCCAGCTAGAAGAAAATATTAAAAATATTAACTTTAAGAAGAAGTAAAAGCCGACTTTAAAAAACTAAGAAGGATGAGATAATTTCACATTCAGAAGTCGGTCGGTAAGATAAATTATTTTATTATATTTATAGATATTTAAAAGTATTTTTTTACAGCTTTGAGTCGATTTAGGAATATCACAATTTCAATATCATAATGTGACGATATTAAGTTTTTGTAGTCGGCTTAACATTACGTCCCGTTGGCATTGGCAATAATGTTTCATATTATGATACTTTTTTATGTATGTTAATGAACGACTACCAGCTAATCGCGGACGCATTATACCTATGTGTGCTTGTCATGAAATGTAGTGATATTTATTCTAGTACTGAATTATTGCATTGTCGACTTTTCAATCTTAATAGTTCATTTCAAAAGTTTGACACATGGATTATGAGTTCCGTGGCTGGGACATAGCCTAGGCACAAATCTATGAAAGTATGTGCATACTACTAAAAGATAACTCAATACAATGATCATTTACTATCAAAGTGATTTGTGTGCTGTTATACACTATGTGTTATAAAAATTTAATGAAATCATACTCACTAGTCTGGTGATATAAATGATGAAAATCAGTCCGCGTGAGGGCTACGTTTGGAGGCGTGGCAGACACGAGTGCATTTATTGTGGAACCCAAATCAGCCTGAGGCTGCTCTGCGGCCTGTGTATCAACAACCATCCAATGAAAAAAATGTGATTTTAAAAATATAACAGTAATTCATTATTATAAATCATAATTATTTGAATACAATAATACAATTATTCAACACTTAAAAGCTCTAATAAAACAAGTTAGAGATATGTCCTTCTCGTTCTAAACAAAATGTCAGAGAGACACTTTGATGAGTTGCTATACAAATCTGGCTAGAGTAGAATTCATTTATTTTTATTTAAATATTGTAGAAAATGACACAAAAGTGAAAAACAGAACAAAACAAGCAAAAAAACAGTAGCCAGCATGACGTTTTGCTCAGCACGCTCAATAATAAAACAAACTTTTATTTACATAAGTTAATTTTTTTGACTTTTTGAGTGGACTAAGGAATATCTTAAGTTCAAGGTAAAGTTTATGTCGTATCGTCACTTCGTCAAATAGCAAAGATGAATCCTAATGCTCTCAAAGTACAAAAGGAATCTGGATGATTATCAAGAATGTCTGCAGTATTGGACTAAATAATTCTGATCTGTTACTTCATATTAATATGAAGCCATGATTAAAACTACTTTTACGGATTTTATCGCGTTTATTTTACTATTATTTTTAATTCCCGACGTTTCGGGCGCTTTCCAGCACCCATGGTTACGGGGGACTGAGATGACTGACGTCCCGATGTCATTGTTAAACCCAGAGTACCTTCAGCTTTTTTAATTATTGTTTATGGTCAGATATATGCAAAATGAACTGACTATGTCCTGAGGTCTTGCAGTGGTATGCTTGGGTTTTTTAGTTTTAATTTTATTGATTATAGGATCCCAAGAGGTGGTAGTATCCAACCTCCTTCTCTATTGAAATTAGGATGTTTTTTAATTTCAGTAGCCTCACGTATCATCCTTGGTAGGAATCGGTGTTCTTAAGCGAGGATTTGTGGTCTATCAAATCTGATGTAATGGTTGGGGCCGTCTAGGATATGCAGTTTGCGATCATATCCTAGACGGCCCCAACCATTCCTCCTCCTCCATCCTCGCGAAAGAACCGATTCCTACCAAGGATGATATGTGAGGCTATTGAAGTTGATGATTGATTTCAATAGAGAAGGAGGCTGGGTACTACCACCTGCTTGGGATCCTATAATCAATAAAATTGAAACTAAACCCAAGCATACCACTGCAAGACCTCAGGACATAGTCAGTTCATTTTGCATAGATCGGACCATAAACAATAATTAAAAAAAGCTGAAGGTACTCCGGGTTTAACAATGACATCGGGACGTCAGGCATCTCAGTCCCCCGTGACCATGGGTGCTGGAAAGCGCCCGAAATGTCGGGAATTAAAAATAATAGTAAAATAAACGCGATAAAATCCGTAAAAGTAGTTTTAATCAATGTGTAGTGTTCGCGTAAATATAAGAAATCATTATGAAGCCATGAATTAAACTCATGTTTTTCGTTAGATATTCGTTGATTCGCTCTTAATAACCTGCAGCTGCCAGTGTATTGTACAGCCAAAATGACTTTCTACCTGTTTTCTAGAGGTCATATGAAATGAATGTAGGTAGGAACAATACAGTTACCTCAGGAGAGACAAGCATCTGTTGGGAACGCTGTAATTGCAGAAGACGAGCGCGGTGTTGCTCTACCAGTGAACGCGAGTCCTCGCCACGCGGTGCCATGCCATACATTGAACTGCTCCCACTTCCCATGTTACATGATCCCTGTTCAAATAACATAAAAATATATTCTGTTTAATTTTATGACTTCCATAAGCAGTGTTCGTTTACGTATTACTTTCGTTCTGAAACAAGGTATCAAAACCTTTAAAAAACTTAATTCAACTCTAATGAAGCTGAACAGATAGTAGTATTAAATCGGTTCATTCTTTTAATATAAGCGTGTGATCTTAACATGAAACACGTTATAATAAAGCAAATAAAAAATTAGCATAAAAAATGTTAATGATTTAAAACATTTGACATACCGGACTTTGTACAGGATACACTGGAGGGGCACCAGGACTTGAGGAGACTGGATTTTTAGACGCAGTTTCACATTGCATGAGACTTTGTGTAATAGCATTTATGACCGCATTCTTTTCTTTCATACCCTATAACAAATAATAAATAATGTTCCTAAATATTATAAAAGTATTTATTTTAAGGTTTCATTTTGTTAAAACATACAATTAGGTCCTTCGTACATCATGATATTAGTAAGATACAACACTTTGATCAGATACCAGACGAGTACTTGTTCGTTACTCAAGATGTGTGCGTTACACTACTTAAATAAAATTTCTTAATTTCATAAGTCAAGCTGCAGAATTAAAGATGTTTTTTATCCTGTTAACATGTCAAGTGAGCCTAGTAATGAAAACGCTCTTGCTGTTTTTTTATGTGCAACATCTGTCCTCTAGCTTCTTTTTTCTTTTTCTTAATGTCCTATATGTATTGATATAAAAACCAGCCAGATACAAAAAGTACAACCAAAGTGGTTTTTCTTCAATTTAATACGAACAAAATACGAAGAAACTTTTCCTATAGGGCTGTTCCATAGATCGCCACCTTGAGAGGATATGTGCCGTAGTTACCATGTTTGGTAACAATAGCTGAATTGCAAAAAATATTCGTAATAAACCTTTCTCATGAATAGTTAAGTTTATATTGAATCAAGCTGCGCGCACCAATAATAATAATAATAAACTTTATATGGCGTTAAGTGACAAAACAGCTACGTCAACGCAGTCAGTCAGCGCCTTGCGAGAGGTGTGAGCGCCGTGCCTCAGCAGAATTTAGGGTGCAAAGGCCCGTTTGTGCTTATGGTCGTACACAATACGGTGCCGGGCCTGGGCGTCTCCCGTTAATGGATGCCCAAACCATGGATGATGGAAAAAAGATAGAGCGCAAAGGGCCGCTGCCTGGAGGTCGCTAGGGCGCGCCTGGAGCTGGCGCTGGACGCGACAGCATGCGAGTCGCCAGCCGAGCGCGGGATGCTGCAAGACCACCTAGCAGCCCCCCGCATCCATCATCCCCACCAGAAGGCTTGGTGTCGGCTAGGTCTTCTCGGACTCAGCAAGCGGCACCCGCCGCTGGTGGAGCACGTCGCATGTCTTGGTCACAATTAATCAACGCAAACGCACTGCGGGCGTACTTTAGGGCAAAAGGGGAAGAAACTGGATGTTTGGCGTATCGGGCTCGGATGCATCGCTTTTTTGCAGAGCTCGAGCCATCTCTATCCGTCACTGAGCAAAACCTGGCAGACCGAGTTCGGTACATCTTGCGCTCCAACATATTTGGTGACGCCGAACTCGAACGACTACGACGTGAGGCTGTTCCCTCATCGAATGGAAATGCTACGGCTGGGAATGCGGCGCCACAAGATGCGCAGCAAACTGCATAAGTGGATGCTGCCGCCAATATTCCATTTGTGGTTAATTCAGACGATGATGGAATAGTCTCCCACGAACTAGAGAAAATGAGGAGCATATTGAAAGAGTCGATGCTGGAAACGCGCAGCATGCCTCTCGAAAATCAACCGCGACTTCCTCGCATACCCCTTAGCAAGCGAAATCGGGCTGTCGTACGGGCTCTTAACCCAATGCTGGTGACCTATTTGGAAGCCAGCCGGGACCTTTGCGAGACGGACTCAATTCTTTTTGGCGCCGCACTGGCAGTATGCCGTATTATTGGCGCCAAACTTCCCATGGCTGGACGTGCTACTCTACAAAGTAGCGCCATCCCAGCCTGGAGAAAAAGAATCGAGGACCGTATCGCAAAGACAAGGGCCCTTATCGGCAGACTAACAAGCTTCAGGTCGGGTAATAATAGACCGAGAGTTGTGCGCACCGTTAGAATGGCGTTTGCTGGGACCAATATCAGTTTATCCCAGCCGGATATCACGCAGAAACTAACGGAGCGCATAGATGACCTGAAGCAAAAAATCGCTGCTTGGGGGAAGCGGATTCGACTATTTAGCGAGAGGTCAAGGCGGTTCAACCAGAATCGTCTCTTCCAGAGTGATCAGAAGAGGCTCTGTAAAGCATTGGAGCGACCAGAGGTATGTGGAGCGGGCCCAGGAACGGATCAGGCTGACACTGTCGCATTTTGGCGTGGCCTGTGGTCAGAGCCCGTAAACCACAGCGAGTGCCCTTGGATGGAAGTTGTGGCGAGCCAGAATGCAAGTGTTACGCCTATGGACCCCGTCACCATAACGCCTTAAGACGTGGCCGAGGCGGTCCGTAGGGCCCCGAACTGGAAAAGTCCGGGGCTCGACGGGCTGCATCATTACTGGCTGAAGGGGTTCGTAGTGTGTCACGCTGTGCTCGCCCGACAGTTTCAAGAGGCTCTCGATCAGAAGTCGCTCCCGAGCCTCTTCACTACTGGGATCACTCACTTGGTTCCTAAAGATCAGAATACCACAGACCCGAGCAAATACCGCCCCATCACGTGTCTACCCACTATATATAAGACACTGACATCCATTTTGAGCACGAGAATCACTCGTCACCTGGAGCTAAATCAGGTGATGTCACGCGCTCAAAATGGATGTCGGGGCGGTGGTCGTGGAACAAAGGAACCACTCCTCGTTGACGCGGTCGCAAAGTGGTGAAACGCAACCGTTGAAACTTCTCCGCCGCCTGGATAGACTACAGAAAGGCATTCGACTCGGTGCCCCATACATGGCTAAAGAGAGTCCTCCAGCTGTACAAGATTAACTGTACAGTTGGAGACTTGGAGACAGGCAGTGTATGGAGCAGTGGAGTACGATCCTTTGCTATCTGGGCGAGCGGATTGGGGGGAACACAAAAGAAGGGGTATCTTCCAGGGCGATTGTCTGAGTCCAATCTGGTTTTGCCTCTCTCTGAACCCTCTCAGTACTTTACTAGAGGGCTCCGGGAGGGGATTTCAGCTTGGGAAACGAGGTACAAAAGTGACCCACCTTTTCTATATCGATAACCTCAAGTTATTCGCCTCCAGTCGCTCCCATCTTATGGAATTGCTAAACTTGTGAATTTAGCAATTCTATTGGAATAGAGCTGGGGACGGATAAGTGTGCGGTCCTCCATGTTGAAAGGGGAAGGGTTGCTAACTCGGAGGGCATAGACTTATCTATGCCCATCAACTTAAGGACCCTTTCCGAGGCTGAAACATACCGATACCTGGGTATGTCACAGAACATCGGTATCGATGAGGCTGGTATGAAACAGTCAGTTTGCAACCTGTTTTATGCACGCTTAACCAAAGTGCTTAACAGCCTTTTTTCCGGTGTGAACACACGCATATAACGGCTGGGTCATGCCTCTTCTCATGTATACCTTTGGCATACTCAGGTGGACTCAGACTGAACTTTACGCCCTGGATAGAAAAGTCCGCACTACAATGACGTCCCATAGGATGCATCATCCGAGATCGTCGGTAATGAGTCTGTACTTGGTGAGCGTGGCTTTCTGAGCGCGCTCACCATGCATAATCGCGAAGTGTGCAGCCTCCGTGATTACTTCCTGGCGAGATCGGATGATCCATTCTATAATGACGTCATTTCTAGTGATAAAGGGCTTACCCCTCTATCCTTAGCCAACGAGCAATGGCAGGACCCAGCAGTGCTTAGCATTTCCGACCGGGAGACCGTATGGAAGGAGGAGCTCCACGGGAGGTACTACAGGGCTCTACATGAGCCCTTAGTAGATACAGTCGCCTCCCTCAACTGGCTACGTTTCAGTGACCTCTTCGGGAAAACCGAGCGTTTTGTATGTGCAATACAGGATCAGGTTATTAAGACCAACAACTATCGGAGGATACATCCTAAAGGATTGCACCATCGACATTTGTCGAGCTTGTCGCCATCCCGGTGAGTCACTTAGGCATGTCATCTCCGGTTGTTTGGCGCTTTCTAACTCTGAGTACTTGCACAGGCACAACCTAGTAGCCAGAATTCTTCACTAGGAGCTCGCTCTGAAATACGGTCTCGTGGATCGGAAATTGCCCGTATTACAAGTACTTGCCGGAAGCCGTGCTCGAAAATGATTGCGCCAGGCTCTATTGGGACCGGGCCATCATCACAGACAGGACTATTCTTGCGAATAAGCCTGATATTGTGCTGATGGATCGGGCACAGTCAAGGATATTTTTGGTCGACATTACCATTCCGTATGACGAGAACCTCGTGAAAGCCGAAACAGATAAGCTATCAAAATATCTGGACCTGGCTCACGAGGTGACCGACATGTGGGGTGGTCTGCCGACCGAAATTATTCCTGTAGTCGTGTCTGCAAACGGGTTAATCCCAGCCAGCCTCTCGGGCCATCTGAGGCGACTGGAACTCCGTGACGGACCGCTCCGGGCTCAAATGCAGAAGGCGGTGCTCCTCGATACCGCCCGCATCGTCCGCCGGTTTCTTTCCCTTTCCCCCTAACCCTCGGCCGTTTGGTCTCCCCTGCCAAAGGCTTCCATCTGGTTGGGCTTTTATTTATTTATGTATTATTTATTTATTTATGTTAGTATAGTAAATATGTATTTAATTATATTTATTTTTTCCTTTTATGTATTTATCCAGCCCAACCAGATGTGATTACTCTGTCAATAACCCAAAATAAACTTTATTATCATAATTACATTCTTTTCCTTTACAATAAGCTTTTTACAATATGTTTAAAATAAGCTATGCACAAATTTTTTTTTAAGTTGCTTACTTCGGTTACTGCCGGCTGTACTAGGCCGAGCCTGTATCACAGACGGCAAACCAATTATCGTGTTTTAATATATTTTAGGATTCTTACTACATTTGACATTATCAAAAGTGATAAAATCTAGTAGTAGTCTAGTAGTAGTGTTAAATTTTTAATAGTTAACAAATTCTGAACAAATGAAAAATGTACTCGTCTTTTTTCGAAATATTATATTGAAGTATTTTACACAAAAATATTCCTAAATATAAACTAGCTCAGCATATTCAAATTTGCAGTTAAATTTGATTCTCTAAAATCTTATTATTTACAAGAGTTTTCACTCACCGCGAAGTCTGATCTTAGCTGCCGATTCTCTAAATTCATGAGAACATTGACATCTGGTGCAGGTCTTTCCGCATAGGGCATATTTTCGATAACCTCGTCCAATATGTAGGAAAGCATCAAATCACTGGGTGCATCACTGTCGCCTCCACCACCGGAACTGCCTTGACTTCGAGAATTGTCATTCCTAAAATAATTTATGTAAATCCAATGAGAACACAAAATTTGACATTATGGAAAGCATAAGTATACATACAAGTTGTATTTTATATGTGGTGGAGCCACGCTGCAGCTATATTATGGCTGTAGCACGAATGGGTTGGCGGCTCGATCGGGGTAGGATCACACTTTCACAGAATACTAGCGTAAAATAGCAGCTTCGAATTAGTCCAAGAGCTAGTGAACCCTCCGAGTAAAGGTCTTCCTGTAAGGTTGGAAATTTGTACAGTTAGCATTTATAGCATGCTAAGGACAATAGCCATGACCTTGCAGGCGTCAGCCCTGCACGTCATCAGCCCCTTTATTTTTTAAATTGTAAAATAAATAGAGTATATAAACTTGTTTCTCTAAGCTTAAAAATTTTATAGGATGTAGTTTATTTGTTGTAAATCTTGAAAAAAAAATTGACAGGCGATTGCAATGAGGAAAAGTAAGTGACAGGTGGATTGAAAGGAGCATAGTTGATGAGGTAAAAAATAAACTTTTTCCTGTATAGTTAAAATTTGGATATGTTTCTGAGTAAACGTTATAAAATAAATATGTAAAATGACAGGCGGTTTTGAATAGCGTAAGACCTTGACAGGCGAGGGGAAAGCTGCTAAGGGTGTGTGCGTAAGAGGTGTTACGTGAACGCCTATGGCGCGAGTGAGACCGTTTATATAATAGGAAGGGACGTATACCTACTCTCTTTCAACAAACCCCTGAAAATAACGGTTGAAACTTGATTACTCATTATACTCATTACGATTTCAATTGGTTTGAAGGCAATAAGGTTCTTTATTCGATATATGATATACTTTTACGAGAACCTGCTGATACTGCCGAAGCACAATCAACTGAAACTGAGGAGTATATTTCAGGTTACATACAATTATTTTATTCAATTTGATTTAATATACAGTCCTATGTAATTGAGCTTGATATTCAATTCTTAATGAACTTATTGATTTATTAAAAAAAATTCTATTTTCTGAAGAGGAAAACATTATCGAAGAGTCAGATAATGACGAAAACAGTAGTAGTGAAGTGTCGGATAATGATGAAGAAAATTAATGTAAAAACTAATGTCGATTACACCAAAACCAATAAAATGTATTGTATTTATCATTTATGTTTTTATTTTATATCACTCGCACTATATGTGTTCACGTAACACCTCTTACGCGCACGCCCTTAGCAGCTTTCCCCTCGCCTGTCAAGGTCTTATGCTACTCAAAACCGCCTCTCATTTAACATATCTATTTTATAACGTTTACTCAAAAACATATCCAAATTTCAACTATACAGGAAAAAGTTTATTTTTTACCTCATTAACTATGCTCCTTTCAATTCAACTGTCACTTACTTTTGCTCATTGAAATCGCCTGTAATTTTTTCTTTCAAGATTTACAATAAATAAAATACATCCTATAAAATTTTTAAGCTTACAGAAACAAGTTTATATACTCTATTTATTTTACAATTTAAAAAATAAAGGGGCTGATGACGTGCAGGGCTGACGCCTGCCAGGTCATGGCTATTGCCCTTAGCATGCTATAAATGCTAAGTGTACAAATTTCCAGCCTTACAGGAAGACCGTTACTCGGAGGGTTCACTAGCTCTCCAGCTAAAGTCAGCGTAGAGAACCGGAGACGCTTTTTACTGGAAACGAGGCATCCCCTCATAGTCATGGATGACAATGCATCTGCATTTTGATTTTTAATCAAAGATAAATGTAAATGTCTATGGACCACAGCATCCCACTTATCATCAGGTGAACTGTATGCTCGTTTGTCACCCTTATTCTATAAAAGTAAATATTTTTCGATAACAGAGTAACGAATGTACGAAAAATTCACTATGTCTTGTACATACTTATAGAGAAAGCACATAGAAATATATTTTTATAATTAGATAAGTAACCTACTTATCTAATTTGGTCATAGTTTTAGCACAATGTTTAGGTAGTGTACATATTATAGACAGAAACACAATATATGTAAAGCGAAACACCACAATGACTTACTGACTCCAATATCTCTTAAACTATACACTCGATTGACTTGCTCATTTCGCAACGTAGATGCTCACTAAGAACGTATTTTACGCTAGTCCCTATATATCTACGTTATTATCGTCTATTATCGTGCGCCCAGTGAAGTTTTCATACATATGAGGGCGGGTCAAAAAGTTCGTGGAATTAAGGGGGTTAGAGTGGGCAGGATTTTTTTAACTGTCACTACTTGGTGACTCAATACTCTATAAATATCAAGTTTTAGCCAGTTTGATTCATTAAGCTTCGAGATATCCCAGCATAAACAAGTCAGTGGGGAAATGAACACCAACTATGGAGAATATTGAGTTTCTTTCCATGATTAAGTTCCTCACTAAACAAGGAAAATCTCCACATATCATTATGGAAGAGATGTCATCTGTTTACGGTAATTATTATTTTAAAAACGATAATTTTTAAGTGGCAAAGCTTTTTCAAGCAAAGCAGAGACTTTTAGAGCATACATAAGTATGATTTAGAGCGCGCGCTAGCGAGTATTACAGCAAGCACGGGTATGAACATTGTCGAAATTACAAGAGCGACGCTATTAGTCATGAAAGGACATCGCGCCGATATTTGCTTGAATTTTAAGTTACAATGGTAAAATGTGCAGTAACAAGTTCTAAAAACGATTTACGGAAAAATACAGAATATTAATGTAGTTTTTTTCATCGGTAAGTAATATTTATATTTTGTTAAGAAAACACAGATTTTAACAAAATTTATCAGGGTATCAAAGGGTTTTGCGGGAGGCGCGCGGCCGGACCAACTCAGCACGTGTTGATGCACCCCTTTCATGCTTTCCTCGAATTAGAGCTGTACACGGATATTTCATAATAACATAATTTCTTTCGTAATGATAATATAATCACAGTATAAAAAATTAAGAACCTTTTTATTGAAAATCCATTTTGTTTTATAGATACATAATAAAGGTAGATACGATTTAAATACTTTTCTGACACTTATTTTTAAGTGATTAAAAAAACCTAGCTTTGGTACTTATTTATGTAGGTGCCTATCTACGTAATTATGTGTGTATGTTTACGATTTTTTCAAAACTAATGAATGTCATTCAAAAATATGTTGACATTAGATTTAAATATATTGTACGTAAAACTGCGATCAAGTAATCAAAACGACAATACTATAGTATAGTAAGTTAACCATTTTATGGGCAGTAATTTAATTAGTTTTTAGTGTTTGAATAATTAACGTCGTTTTATAAATTCGAAACTATATTTTTTTTGATCTGCTTAAACCTACCTTATAGTTATCGCCCACTTAATATTTACTAAACACTTACCTAATTAAATTAATGACGTAAGTATAATAATGCACAGGAGTATCCTGGTACATCACTTTTCAACTGCTCTATGTATCAGTCTCTATCTATAGAACATCTGCCAAGTGTAGGCATAATGGACAATGTGCGATACGCGCGATCTATAAGATTACTTATATATACTCTAAGATTCGATTATAAAGATAAAGGTGTCAATATCACGGGACAGTATTACGATTTGCTACTAGAAAAATTAAAAGATGGGATTAAAGATAAAAGAAGGAGAAAGAGATGAGAAGATGCTAAATCAAACAATTATTGGCTATAATCTTAAATTAGCCATTAATAAGCGAACGCGTAATGTAAGTGGATCTTGTTTAGATAACTTTATACACAATATTAGAGGAAGTAAATATAATATTTTTGAATTCGCTCTGTCTGATCACTCAAGCCAAATGTTAACTTGTAAAGTCAAAGAAACTTGTTCTCTCTCACATTCGTTAATAAAATGTAGAGATTACAGTAAAGAAAACATGAAAAAATCAATGAATGCTTAAAATCACTTACTTTACAGTAAATTTACAATACAACTGATCCAAATTATGCATTTGATTATTTTCATGAATTATTCATATTATTTTATAATTTATGTTTTACATTTATATTAATAAAAAGAACACCTCGGAAAAAACCTTCCTGGATATCGAATATGTGCAAAACAAAAAAGAAAATTACTTTGGCAATATAGAAAACACCCGACTAATCACAATAGAAATTCGTTCAAATGTTACACAAAACGTTTAAACAAAATAATAAAGTTAACACAAAGGGCACAGAATGACTATAAAATCAAAACAGCTTCAAACAAATCTAAAGCTACTTGGTCAATCATCAATTATAGTAACAATAATGTGATTAAAGAGGAAATCAGGCATATTAATAATAATGGGACGATAATTGATGACCTCAATGATATCGCAGAGTTATTTAACAATTATTTCATAAGTGGAAATGACAGTAATCTAAGAACAATTAATGTTAACAGCAAAGTACCGAATACTTATAACTAATTTTTTATGAACCCAACGACTACTTTTGAAATTAATAATATAATTAATTCATTAAAGAATACAAATAGCACAGGTTATGATGACGTTAGCACAAAGGTATTAAAAAGTGTATCAACCATCATCTCACCCGTTTTATCCTACATCGTAAATTTAAGTATAGCCTATGGAATATTCCCACATAAATAAAAAAACGGTGGTTCAAGCTGTATTTAAGAAAAATTATAAGAGTGATGTTGAAAATTATAGACCCATAGCACTCATACCGACATTCTCTAAAATTTTTGAAAAGGTAATAAGTCAAAACCTTAATGATTTCTTTGAAAAATATAAAATCTTCACAGAGAAACAAGTCGGATTTCGAAAAAATAAAAGTATAAATTTAGCTGTCTTTCAATTTCTACATACTGTAATGTCAAGCCTTAATAATAAGCACTTAGTATCTGCTCTATACATGGATTTAACTAAAGCTTTTGACTATGTTAATCACAGTATCCTCTTAAGTAAATTAGAAGCGTACGGGATCCGAGGAAATATCCTCAATCTCCTAAAAACTTACCTAATAAATCGAAAACAATGTACAA